TGAATGAGCTTTATAAAGAGAAGCAGAGAGACATGTTGTTTTTTTCTGTCACATCTTCTCTGCAGAGAATAAATTCCTGCTGTGAGGGACGAGTAATCCTGGACCTTCTCAACACCCCACCTGGTATCACACGCAGCTGACTACATATTAATGACCCAGGAGTTTATGTGCGTGTGGGCGAGGCGGCTGATCAGATGATCCAACCCCCGCTGCAGGCTCCCGTACTGGAGCACTTATACAGCATTTCAGTGCAGTTACAGGAGCTGATGTGACTAAGAACTCACAAATTAGAGCTATTTGGCTTGACGCAACGAAGAAGTGATAATAGGCCAAAAAAGCAAAGAAATAGGATAATATTAGACTGCTAGGAAAAGAGCCATACTGCAGTTTTTCGCTCATAGGAAATTGGGTCGTAATGATTTTCTGGTGAAAAGGATCTAAAGAGAATAAATTATTCCATGTCAAATAATCCACTGTTGTGGCTGCAGCTCCAGCTGTGAGGCTTCCTTTAGCTCATTTGGCAACGGGATGCCATCCAGATGCTGCTTTGTAGCTGACCCAGCTCTACTCCCTTACCACAATAAATAGAAAAACAAATGGGCAGCGCTGTGTGGCCAGACAGGCCTACTTATAGCCATAAGTGTGCCACGCCACATGACCACAAATACCTCCCTCGCACACCGCAGTGACAATAGATCAAAGTGATATTTGAATCAAGGAAACAGTGCATCATCATCATCATCATATCCAAATATCGCCGGCCCTGACTGATGAGCAGACGTTCAATTCCCACAACCACAAGATCAAGAGGTGAATCTCCCGCGTTCCTCCTCACCTCACACGTGTTGTAGTCCTCGGAATCCAACAGCTGGCAGAGTTTGGGTAAAAGTCCCGGCCAGTTCTGTAGCTCTCCCTTGGAGGCGATGGTGGTGATGAGGATACCTGTGGACAGGGCGGATGTTCTGCTTGTCAGACGGATGTAGAAGCCACTGGGGTCCACAGGCACCGCTGACTAAACTCCTCGTTCATGATCCTACTCAGCAGGCGTCAGAGGTTTGTTTTGTCTCTCTCGCCTCTGGGAACAACTAGTTTCCTACAGTAAACACTTGATTTTTGACCTTTGGTGGAATGGAGTTCATCACCAAGTTAGTTTTTTCTATTTCAGAAAGTAATAGGACCTGATTAAAGTCCAGATTGTAGATATGATACGGATGTAGAGCCATCATCCCACCAGAACAGTGATTTAGTGCATGAGTTGAAATCCTTCTCTAGATCAATATGGGAGAACTTTAGCCGAGCTTTGATTTAGTGCTGCGTGTTGTGCGCCTCAGTGCTTGTGTTATGCATCAAGTGTGAGGATAAATGTTACAGATGTGCATTGATGGATTTTCTGTTGTCAAAGTATCAACTGAAAAACAAGGGAGGGCCGTTACTGTGGAAATACAACAGCTAACAGGGGGCAGGAGGTCTGAATAAACAGGAACCAATCCAGGAAAGAAGGCAGGAATCCTTCCAGTGGACTTCAGAATCCATTTGGGGGGATATGCTGCATATAGACAAGCACTATGGTGCAAATGAAGGCTTTAGGTAGCTGTGAGTTGCACATGTTTCTGCATTGTTAATCAAACAGAAAGGATAGAAGACAAGCGAGATGTATTTCTAAATGTGTCCTGTTTCACTGAGGGCCGAGTCATTAGAAGCTGGTTTAAATATGCTCATGTGTTTTTGCCGCTCTGTGCTAATGAGGCTGTTTAGCATCTCTCAGTAAAGGAGGTGCTGCGTTCAATGCTGCTCTAAGAAGAACTGACACCCACGATGCAGACTGTGCTGTTTGTGTCCCACAACTATAATGCTATTACATTTAAAACACACATTTACAGTATTCATCTCAAGTCATAATCAAATAGAAATCGTCAAAAATGTAATTTATTTCATGGGTATACCTTTATTCCATAAGCTGCGTTGTCTATGTCTAGTATAAATAATTTACATTTCCTCAATAATTGATGTACTCAGCTGTAGGTTCAACAGTGGGTTGAGTCAGCAAACAACTAAATCTACAGATAACTACAAGCGACACAAATAATACCAGTTACACCCCCGATAAAACCGCCTTTTTTAATCCCTCACCACAGCACGAGGGTGGACGTCTTCCTCTGTGGACACGAGCGCACGAGACGCGCCGATCAACTGATGCATAACCCTAAAAATGAAAGCGAGCGCCTTCCACTTACCTACGGTGGCTCGGATGAGGGGAGACGAGTCTCCGATGTTCTGGAGGCACTCGCTCTTGATGAAATCAGACACGCCATTGGGGAAGTTCTGATAGTGGGCTTTCACATTGTTCTTCAGTATCAGCCCGCTCAGAGACCGCGTTGGTTCGTCTTGGGGGCGAAGAAGAGGCAGATTGTAAAAATAACACAATAAAAAACCTTGAGTAACTTATTATTGTACTCGTCTCGTTGCATTGGACCTAAGAGCAATGGTGCAACAGCATCCTTAAATGTCTTAACACCACTTAACATTGCAGTCATCTACAGTGCACTGCGGTCCAGCCAAGAGTTGAGTGGTGCCAGGAACAGGGTTTAAAATTAGAGTGACCCATATTCAGAGTGCCACATCATCAAGACGCCATCGGGTCACTGGAGTCGCGGCATAAGAGCCCCCGTCTCTCAGCCGTTACATAAAGGCGGCATGTCTGAGCGCGGCGGTGCCAACAGAGAGCTTACCTTCTGACTTTAACTTGGTCAAAACGAATATCAGATAGTTGTTGAAGTCGGGGTACTGGTTGAGCTGCTCGAGTCTCTGTGGACGGTGGTTGAGGAGGACAAGGGGCTGACTGTACACACGGCAGGTTCAAAGGTCATAAACGCGTCATATGACCAGACTCAATACGGTCAGTACCTAGACAGATGGCGTGGTCAGCGCTAGAACAGCAGGTTTTCTAGGAGTTAATGATGCAGATTACATAATCAAACCTTTGAGAACCATAAGGCCCGGCTGCATAGAGCACCTCATATTAAGCGTTCTCCAATACAAAAGCACCGGCCTATTAAATGTTACGCTGCTGTAATTAGTAAACAAAGTCTCCCAGGTAGCTTTATTTTAGGATTATAACATTTGTGTGTGGAGCGAAATGCAGCAAATAATGAAGTAGTTTCAGTTTCTCATTTGTGTTTAATGTTAATTAAATGTGGATGTGTCTGATTCAGATATCGACTGAATCTATCATTATTATTTTTGCATGAACATCAGACATAATTCATGGTCTTTACACACAGACCATCCCTTTGGAGACCGATGTTGTGATTGTATGCATCCGGTTGAATGTATCATAACGGCATTATTACTAAAATCCCGTGTAGATTATTATTACATTACACATGATCTTATTTATGTATGTATATCTAAAATGTAAGGGTACAATGCGTTGCTCATTTAGCTATTTGCAGAGGAAACCTGAGGTTTTCTTGTTGTTATACAGCTGCAACGGCTCATGGAAGCCGCTCGAAGGATCGTTTATAGACGTCACACTAACCCGGGATAAAACACAACGGTACACCTCTAACGCTATAAATATCCGCGTATGCTCCGTACAGCCCGGTAGCGGCTTCGCTAGCGGCACGTTGGGCCTGTTAATTAACCACGAAGCCCCCCGACCGTCCGGCACCTGCCCGTCGTTACCGGCTCCTAACGGTAACCCGCCCGCGGCCAGCGCTAGCTGCCCGGCTAGCTGCCCTGCTAGCCCGCCGGGTGTACCGGGTGTCTAGCGAGCGCCCAACAACCGAGACACGCGCGTCACGACCCGCGCCTCGGCTTCGGGAAGGATACTTGCTGGACGGATCTCTGCGTGGACGTGTCCGGCGACTGAGACTCCTTCAGCAGCTGGAGTATTTGTTGAAGTCCCTGCTCGTCTGGCTTCCACTCGCACTCCATCTTGCTGTGCCGCTGCGGATCGAGACACAGCGTTTAACGTTCCTCCTCAACGGCCGCCCCTCGTGACGCTGTCGTTGACGCGTTTTTTGTTTTTTCGGGGTTTTTTTCTTTTTTGTTGAAATAACGTTAACGTCAGAAATGCGTTCACCCGTCTCGACTGGGTCGACCGTGTTCGAGTGACGCGGAGCCGTCCGTTGAAAACGTGACCGTCCGTCCGGGCTCTCAGACGTTGGGCCTGTTACAGCGGCCACATCCGTTTTTACGCAACAAGCTGGAGGGGGGCGGGGGGAGGCGCGCGGGCGCGGGGGCGCGCGCGGGGCGGTCGCGGCGACGCGTACAGAGCCGTATATAGAGAGAGTCGCGTCGACGGAAATTACACGTGCGCTCGATCGTCACGTGATTGACGTGATTCACGCGAGCCGCTTGAGATGTCGGCGAATTCGGTTGAAACGGAGGAAGTGTTTTGCAAATTGCATTTCAATGAATGTATTGATTTGCTTTGATATTGATTGATACGACATCCACACAAACGCAACAATATGTTACTACAACTCTTCTTTTCTTTATCTACATCTTCGTTCGACACCTTTTATATTATTTATACTATTAATGAAATCATAGAAAGTGGCCTTGACTGTCGGCAGGAATTCAAAAAGGTGAATCTTGTGTATAACTGTGCAGCTAAAACCACCTGTTTGTCCAGTGTGAGGGAAGCCACTATCATCTAACCCACCTTATTATTGTCTGAACACCCACTCAGCCTTCTGGTTTTGAAAGAAAGACTTTATTTGAATGTAAACCTTGTTATTTTCCATGGTTATTCCTCTCTCTAAACCTAAGGAGGAAGCCCTGAAGTTAAACGTCTCTATGTACATTCTGTATCCTGACTTACTTCTAGTGGTCTGGGCCCGTAACACATTCAGCTGTAACAACACTGCAGCTCAAGTTCAGAGATACACAGCTATACATTAGAAATAAATACCATAACGACGATATTAATAAATGAATCCATCGGATGAACGAATATCGGATGAGCTGCTGAAGAATAAGATCCAAAGAAGAAGTAGGTTTTGACCAAAACAAAATGATTTTCTCCAGTTTATTCAATTTCAAACGATAATATTTCATATTGTCTCGAACAAATCATGAGGTTGAGTGTGTGAAAATTAGAAATAAAAGCCTCTTTGTGAGACTTTTACAAAGATACAGAACATGCATTTGTTAGAAAATAAAGACAGACTGAACGTTTAACACTATCAATCACCCGTTCGCTATGACGCAGAACAAATTATCCATGAAAGGCTTCAAGGAATGCTGGTACTTCAGAGAAATACGAAGTTGTCTTCTGGTGAAGAGCTGCTCACTGTCCTCCTGTTTTCATGTGCTGTTTTCATTGAGCATGATCTGTAATTAAAAACGTCTTTGTCACCTCAAAGCAAAAGCATCTCTTTGTTTGGTATTGACTGACAACAATGTGATCACTGCCCACGTCCCCCAGTACTCACAGGGACGGTTTCCCCATCTGTCTCCGGCCGCTGCCAGCTGTTATTGGACAGGAGGCCGAAGACGACCAAGACGAAGGCCGCGAGGAGGAGGCCGAGGGAATTTGCGAACTTTGCCTCCACAGGCAGCGAGCTGTAAGACTCGCCAGTGACTCCATCGCTGCAGCAGATGGAGACATTCGGTCACGTTTCTTACCAGCGATACCGATTTATAGTCATGTAGGAATTTCACGCGGCCGCCGTCCTGTTGGGAACAAAAAAAGAAGACACTGCGCCGCCACCTGGTGGATATCGGAGCACTCACAGGTTGAAGAACAGTTCCTCTGTGATCCCGCTGATGCAGGAGGTCAGACTGAGGATCAAGATGGCTTTGCCCATCCAGACGTGGACGGGCTTCAGGTTGCTGCGGAAGCGCGGCGGAGAACACGGGAGCAGGAAGCCGGCCAGGCCGAGGAGCCACTGCGAGCGGCGGGGGGGTCAGACAAGGGGAGCGGCTTAGCTCGGAGCTTCTCGCGGTTTCCTCACCTTTTGGCCGCTGCGCTTCCCTTTACCACTGCCTCACCTGGAGAGCAAACAGTGCCACGGTGCAGAGGCCCACCCAGCTGTGCAGAGAGTACACGTCGGGGATCTTCGAGGCTCTGTGGTAATCGAACACGGCACACAGGCCCAGGACGGACAGGAGCAGGGCCGCCAGCATCAGGCCGCCGTGCACCAGCTTCCAGGTGAGCTTCCTCTGCTTCCAGGTGAACGGCAAGCGAAACACCACGGCCGCTGCGCAGAACACAGCCAAAGGCAAACGGGCTCTTTAAATATATATACACAATTCTAGTCTAATTAAAAACCAAATCCTCGGAGCTCAGTCACACGCAGGGGGAAGTTCAGACGGGACGACCACGAGGAAGGATTCTCCTTTATTAAACCACACTAGATCAACCGCTGGAAGTGATAAAAACTAAAAAACCTAATCCGAGGTGACTCCGATGACGTCATAGAGGTCATTTTGCTCCAGTCGGAGGCACTTTAGACATCGAGCTGCTCCTTTAAATGTTGTGTTAAAGTCGGAGGTAAACAATAACACCAAACTGCATCCTCCGAAGGACTCGTCGCCACGGTGCCGTTGCCTACCGAAGCCGTACAGAACCACCAGGCCGGTCACCATGAGGACGGGGTGCCAGTTGAACTGCAGACCCGAGCCGTCCCAGGCGAAGCCTCCGTGCCAGTGGGAGGTCCAGAAGACCACGAAGAGCAGACAGAGCAGGCCCAGACACAGGCAGGGCACGTAGGTGAACCAGAACCACCCGGACGGACTCATGTCTGGGGAGTCTGGGAGGGAAAATAGAGAATTGTGGAATATTCAGTTGATAAGATGGGAATTTTGTTACTGGCTTCAAAAACTGATGAGCAGCTTAGTTTCTAACAGTGATAAGATCCCCTAAAGCGCCTGAGAAGAAGTGTTTCCACTAAAACACGGTGTCAAAAAGTGAGAGTGTTTAGCATTAATGAATAATGCTCTGTAAAAAAATAAAGAAAAATTATAATTGAACACTTCAGTCTGAAGTAGTTTCTAACTGAAAAATAGTAATAAGTGATATTTACCTTTAGAAGACGAGCACGAAGCTTGAAGACGAGCAAAATGAAAGATCGGCCTGACGGTATACTTACTTATTCCACCGTCCCTCTACAGCCACACACTGTCCATGAGCCTCCCTCACACTCACCCTGTGGCTCGTCCCTCTTTGTCCACTCGGAGACAACAGGCCTCCCTGGTGACGCGCGTCGGGAATCGTTTGTGGTGGTTTTTAAGTGTGACGACGTCCGGAGGCTCGTGACAAAGAAAACTTCAGCTTTTCATAACATGGCTCACTTTTTGCTCCGTCATGTTGACTCTGGATCTTTGTATTCATCCCACGGCCGCCCGACTGTAACAATCAAAGTGTGTGCGAGACATCTGCAGCACAGCGGTACAGTGACTAAACATCCTGACCAGGCATTCAATCACATCACACCCAGATTATCATTCATTTTAAAGTGACCTTATATACACGACATGTTCTGTGGATTAAGCCGGCACAAAAACACGTCTTCCATCAGCTCCTCCCGGGCACGTGCAACACGCCGGATCACATGCATTCTTCTCACAAGTTACTACGAATGATCTTCTTTTTCAAAGCGACCACGTGGGCGAAGAGGGACCTCTTTGCATGTCATCTAATAACGCACAGCCCTGCAGCGGGAACAAAGCCTGCGCTGTTCAGCAACAACCCTGAGATCGGGGAGCGAGGCGGGTGATAACAGATGGCCGGTCACGCAAGGCCAGTGACGCCGCGGAACATCATTTTACCTCCGAAATGACAGACGGGAAGGCGGGAAAAGACATTTATTTCATGTCGACAGCAATGCACGAAAACACCCCACGTGTGGTTGCATCAACAAGCTTTATTTAGAGCCGCTACAGGTAGCAACGCGGTGCACGAAGGCGGCGGTGGACCTACAGGTCGTAGAGCAGCACGGTCACCGGGGCACTGGGCTCCATGTTGTGCATGATCTGCTTGGAGCAGATCGCCTCGTCGTCTGCGTCCTCCACGAAGACGGACACGAAGCGGCGAGCCTCCCAGGGCACCTGCTGGGTCTGAGAGGCCAGCACGCGGACGCATTCCACCTCCGCCCGGAAGCTGAACTTCTTGTCCCCGGGGTGCACGGCCGGGACGGTCTGCTCGCCTCCGGCCAGCGGCGCGATGAAGGCGTCGAGCGGCAGGGCCTTCTCCGTGACGTACACGCGCACGTTCCTTTTGCTGTAGTTGCTCATCTGGCACGCCGTGTTCATGAGGTTCCCCATTTCGTTGTTTTGCTTGAGGCTGTAATAATAAAATAGACATATGAGAGTTTTGTGCACTGAAGAAACAACAACCTGAGGCCAATTTTATGATTTATTATTTATAAACATTTAGCGGTGAATATTTGATATTCCTGTTCATTTCTACTCTTCTCACTAACAAGTATTGCACACCGGCCTTTTAGCAGCTACTCATCACCTGTCCCCTGTTCTCCACCCGTCATTGTATCTGCACATACAAAGAGCTCGTATCACAACATTTGAATTTTACTGCACATTAGAGCCGCGGCTGTCTTCAGGGTACAATGTGGCGTCATCTATTTTAGTTAACGCACCGTCCACTCAAGCATTTGATGGATTGACCCTTTACATTAACGGAAATAAAGAGACATCGGCTACAATGTTGCGCTTCCATTGATAATAAATGAAATTGTTCTTTTGGTTTTGTGTGAGCCCCGTGGAGACATGGAGGGCACTGACGCAAAGACAGACTCTTCTTACGGTTTAGTTCGATTAAAAAAGAATGAATTCTTACCTGCTGCTTCACCGAAGGCACGGAGACAATAACGCACGCCGTCTGTCCTCCGGAGCTCAGCAGTAGGTGTCTTATAGATAATATCTGATAAAATGCAAAAACGCAGGACCCAGCCAGGGTTGGGCAACGTACTGTGGAGATGCACCTGCCCCAATAGAGCCGCCTCTCACGCCCCGCGTCCCTGTTACTGGCCAATCACATTTCTGTCAGTGAATAGACATTAATAGTACAAATAAATACATTCCTTAATCGTTATAAAAATGGAAATTGTTTTAAAGTATTTTCTCACTCAGTTTCATACCAATAAATGCATTTTTTTATTTGAAATATGATGTATTACAACTGTCCCACTAGACGTTACACAAAAACAATCAAATCTGAGGTGGACGGGTTACAAACTATTCTCTCCTTGAGACAGAAAGTTGCCTCTTTGCCTGCACCTCCAGAGAGCAAAGGCCCCGTTTGCTGTACGGTTTGCATATTCAAAGTGAAATGAGAAAGCTGCAGTGCAGATAACAGAACTCAGTCTCAGCACGATGAGGACGTGGCTGCTGCTCGTGTTCCTGCTCGTCTCTGACTTGAGTCCCCCCGGAGAAGGGGGCCGGGCCTCGGATCACGACCGCCGGGCTTCAGGCAGGAGACTGCTTCTGATGACCCCTCTGCTGGAGACACGGGAGAGCCAAAGCAAACACCAATGCGTCTGGAGAAACGTGTGTGTGTGTGTTGCTGTGCGGCGCAGGCTGAGGACCTCCCCCTTCTACTGGACGCACACGCTCCATGATGGCAGCAGATGCACTTTGTCCCATCAGGAATTTACAGGAATAATCCAGAGGAATCATAGAACAGCTCGGGTATGCTTATTTCAGTGTTGGCAGAGTTACAAAAAAGCAAAAGGAGCTTCCATAATGCTGATTTATTAACGAAATGGCTTTCTCTCTATTGCATATATACCCTGCTCATGTACTATTGTGATTACAACCATTGCCACTGCAGTCCTCACTTTCCGTGAGCACACTATTTATTTGTTACTATTTCCTCCGTCCTGCTGCTGTGTGCGTGATCAGAATGACAAATTTACATGAGCTAAACGCAAGAAGCCGATCGTTGCATAAACGCAAGCAGCCTGGCTTAAATACAAACGCTGTCCATCATGAGAACATCTGACACGCGGTGTGTTTTTCTGCTGTGAGACTCTCCCTCTCTCGAGCTTTAGGGCAGAAAAGACCTCGGAGACGTTCAGAAGAGAAATACTACGAAGGGAAAACTCATTTTAATGCGCATGGTTTAACACACATAAGGGATTAAACTGAAAGAGCAACAGTTGCAGAAATGCGAATAACTCCCTCTGAGATTTCCCCGCCATTAAACCCGACATCAATGACTGCCGCGTGGTCGACGGCGCGTGCTAACGCGCCAAAGGGAACCACACGGCAGTAAAGTGAGAAGCTGCACTCGGAGAATGACGCGCCAAAGCACTTAAAAAGGACCATTACAAGTTGAAGGATGTAGCGACGTTAGCAGCTCTTTGGGCTAAATGCTAACGTCAGCTCGCTGCTACGCTACAGCAACGATGCTATCGCCCTGATAGTTCAGTGCAGCGGATCAGAATTTGCCAATTAGCTTGAAACATAAAGTGCAGCAGAGGCTGATGCCGTTAGCTCTGCGGATACCTGGTCATCAACCAGCGCGGGGGGGAGGAGCTTAATACATCACCTGACAATGGCGCCAGATAAAAAGCTCGCCGTGAACTAGTTCAGGGAATGACTCTGTCTTCTCCTTTCCCTCCAGGTTGTTTCTCTCCTTCGCGGAAAAGGAAAAGGAGTTGCAGTATTTCTGAGGTCAGACACGGACGTAATAACAGGTCGGCCCGATCCACGGCCACTGCGTCCGGTGTTAAATCAACCCAAGAGCTGGGCCTCGGGCAACAGTCTGCTGAAAAAGAGATTGTGCGCTGCTAGTGTGATTATTTCCAGTAAAATGAGACCAGCAATGAACATCGAGGAAATGCCCAAGGAGAGGATCGCACAACCACGAAGGAGACGAAGAGAAGGCGCGCGGAGGCCGATGGAGACTAAAGTTCACACAAAGTACGACAGACAAGCCGCGGTCCGTCGTCACCAAGCTGCTACTCTGACCTCTGGCAGCCCTGCGAGGAAAACCCCTCATGTGTCCCAGTTCCACTCGCAGAGAACTTTACAGAAACATGAACACTTCAACTTCAACTTGGTGCCAAAAGGAGCTCAGAAACCAGACCCTTCAAAAGCTGCGTCTGGTGTGAACGCAGAGGAGCAGCTCTTGGTGGTCTCCAGAGGGGACGCGGGATCCTTCCGTAGGCCGCAGTCTCAGAAAGAGGCCTCTCGGGGGGGCGATAAAGCGGATGTCAATGGCGACGCAATCCCACAAAGAGCACGACGGCGAGAGAGAGAACGAACACATATCGATGGAAACGGGAACCAGAGGAGATTAGCACGCGTTGTACACGAGGCGGGTAATAACGACGGCGACGGCAAACAAGTGTCCGCTGAGGCGGAAGGAGAAGTCTTCATCACGTCTTTCCTCCCAGACGCCGGGTGGGAGACACGAACAGAACCATGGTCGTGTCCGAGCGCAGGGACTGTAAAAACAACGGTGAAGTTGCTTTATCGCCACCCACCCACGGCTGAAGTTATAAAGACCAGATTTATTATGGAACCAGGGAGCTTGAAAGGAATCCTGTTTTCGTTAGGAGTGCATGTGCCGGGCGGAACAGAGAGAATAGTCCTGAAAGCGGCGGAGAGAAGAGCCAAAGTAACCACGGTGTCACCTGGTGGACATATGGGCATAAATCCTACTAAACAAGCGCCCCCAGAGGGGTCCGTCAGGCCGTCACCCCCCACGCTCAAAGCAGCCGAGACGACGGCGTCGAGTAGAGACGCAGGCGGGCCGGCGAGCGCCGAGACCCCGAGGACGGCAGAGGCCCGCGCCGGCGCCGAGCCCGGAGCCGCCAAATGCATCGCGGCCGACAAAGGGGCCCCGACGCTGAGCCCCTTCTCGGGCCTCCGGATGAGAGAGGACGCCCCGGCGGAGACGACCAACCCTGGTGGAGAGACCGAAGGAAGACCTGCGTCTAACAGGAAGGCGTTGCATGACGATCCAGAGGAGAACTCGGTTGCGTTTGACACGATCCACAAAGTAAGTCGACCCGCTTTCTGTGAGAATCCCGAGGAAATTAAATAGGAATAGTTTGTCCTTTTTGGGAAAACCCACCAGACACTTTGTTGCTTAAGTGTGAGGCAAGTGCCGGCGGTCGATTAGCTTAGCTTAGCACAAAGACAGTGGAAACAGCCAACAAATGGCCAGCGCGCAGTTACCAGTTTACTTATTGTGGTTCAATCTGTGAAAAAACAAGTTAAGAAACTTTTTTTTTAACACATGGAACAAGACGTGTTAATGAGTGAGCTCTCAGATACCTGGACTTTCCATGTTTCCAGCTTGCTAAGCCAAGCGATGCTAAGCTAAGCTAATTGGCTGCTGTCAATACAAGTGAATAATTGTTTACAAACTTCCAATTTAAAAAAAGTTATAAAACAGAACAAAATGTGGGTTTAATTTAATCTTAAAGGAGTTCAAATGATGCCAGGAGGAGAAAACTAATCCAACAAGGGACGACTGATGATCCCAGAGAGCAAAAATGTTTGCATTGCAAAAACTAAGCCACTAGAATAAATATAATACTTCGTAAAGGGAGTGAGTCTGAGTCCCTTTGCACCCCCCCCCACAGACTGGGGAGGACAACGCGCCGTGCTGCGGAGGTCTGGTCCACCGCTCCCAGGCCGATGGACCCGTAGAGACCGCCAGAGACCGTCTCCTCGATGAGGACGAGGACGAGCATTTCTATTATTTCGATGGAGTGCTGAGAAGGGTGAGGAATAATTTGTATCCCCGTCAGGAGAAGGAAAGGAGGCGGAAAGGCAGCCGCGGCGACTCCGAGAATAGTGTTCTGGGAGTGAGAGACGAGGGAGACACTAAAGAAAATTTCCTCCGATACATCCGACGTCTTACTCCCGGGAATAAGGCCGGTCACCTCAAGTGATCCACAAGGGCGCTGCAGGAACCGAATCAACACTAATGCATCACACAGAACCGCTAACCTGCGGATCCAGCCGACGAAAGGCAATATTCTGACAGTGAGGAAGACGCAGTCTTGCTGCCGGGCAGCTGGATGAGATTGTCATTTTCTATTTTCCGCTTTAAGAAGGACGTGGCAGGTTTACTAAAAGGTTTCCCACGGCAGACATTTGGATGAGACATTCATAAAGCATGAACCTTGTACAGGTACCACACACACTATTCATAATCAGTTACTGATTATTGGTCCACATTATTGTACAAGTTTATATAATATTTATGTTGCTATTCACACAATTCTCTGGAGAGAATTCTGGTAATACCCACTTGAAGTCAGAGAAATATTAAATGTGTGATCCTCTTCCTCCATGCATGTATATTTGATAATAAGAAAAGTTTTCATGGCACAGCGATTGTTTCCATATTTGTGTTTGAGCCACAAAACCCAGAGAATGAAAATACGACTTGTGTTTAAATGAAACCAAACACAAACACATCTGTTATTTTCAAACAATTCAAAGACGCTCATCTGTACAAAACATTTATTTCAAATAAATTCACATAATAACAGCTTTGATGCATTTACATAATTTATATCTGAAATCCATGAGGAGGAAACAGTAACTAAGAAGGAAATGTCTTGACTGCGACGCTGGAAATAACGTTTCTATTTTTCTGAACAGCTCAGGACTAGAAAATAAGTAAAAACACAGAAATGATTTTAGAAAATGACAAACAGGTGAAGTGCCACAGAGTGAACAAACCATGCATGATGCTACTTCAAAGGCCTGGAGGAATCTCAAAAGAACAAGGGAGAATATTAGGTGAGAAGTTAAAGGTCCCTAGAGACGGATGCCGGCTGCACTTTTCATTGTCTGTCAATAGATGGCAGTGCCAGCACTGTAGCATCACTTCAGCAATAATATAGAACTCTGTAACTCTTTCCTTTATACATGCTGCAGAAAAATGGGCAAAAATCGAGATTAAAACGTGTCGACGGTCAACTGCAGCGGTTGGTGCTCTGAGTAGCTTCACACCTCACGGACTATATTCATGCTGGTTTGTGATACAGCTGCACAAAAGGATCTCTGGATCTTCCTACGCACGTGCGACAGAATGAGGGAGACACATTTGAGCTTCTTTTGAAAGCTAGAAAAAAAAAAAAAAAAACTTCAATGATTTCCTTCATCCGGTCTGAGTTTGACCGCAGACGGAAAGGATGCTGCTCGCGTGCACGAGGGCCGCTGGTTCATCCAGTCGGCTCTAGCTTTTTCTTCTGAGATTGGGCGTCACCTCGACTCTTAATTTGAAAGGACACGCTCTGCGTTTAGCATCGAGGAGCAGCTTCCCCCCCCCGCAAACACACGTGGTCTCTCCCGCCAGGACACCTCTGAGAAGTTTGAGGTCGGTCATTTTGCCCCGGAGCTAAAAAAAACGTTTTATAGGGTCGAAAACGGTATAAATAATAAAAAGTTATTATTCATTACAATAAATATGTCAATAAATAGAAAATGACCTTTGAAGTTCTCCAAGTTACATGGAAACGTCGTGGAAACGTTTGGACAAATAAAAGCCGCTCCGACAGGAACAGCCGGTGAAACTCGGGTGCTGCAGAAAAAAGGCCGCCCCCATCGCTCAGCGCGTCGACGTCGCTAAACACATTTCAATGACCGGACGGCCCCGAAGAGGCGAAACTTGGATTAGTAAAGCTGCGATTTGACCGCCCCGACAAACCAACAAAAATAGCAGGATTTTGGTTTGAAATCCCACATGTGCCAGAGGTCAGTGCAAAGAGGCAGAGTATTAGCGACACAGCTGACGCCCCTCCTACAAACCAGTGTATATCCTCGTCTCCAGGTAGCGCCTTGTGTGTGTGAGATGCGAGGGCCGGATGCGTGACACACACACACACACACACGCGCTCAGAGACGCTTTCAGTATTTGGATGCGTGTCGCTCCATCCGAGTCAAAGCCACGCAGCCACGTCCGCCCGTGGAAGCGGACACCTTCACTCTATCTTATATATGTATGTATATATATTTTAAAAAACACACATTTCATCGTCGTCTCGGCGGCGACGTCGTCGAATTCGGACCACGCAACCCTTTCTCCATTTTTCGATACTACGCCCTGGGCTTTGGCCGTAGTGGTCGACATCGTCTGCGTTCTGGTAAATACGGCTCGACCCCCCCCCCCCCCTCCCCCATACCGCCTCCTTTTTAAAACTACTGGCCCTTTGAGTACACGGCCGCTCAGCCACGGAGAGGTCAGAGAGGTCACCGACCGCGTCCTCTTAAATAAGTTTCTACTTGGGGGGCTATTGGGCCTTCAGGGCGCGTCGGCGTGTTTGTAGTAGCCTCTCCGCAGGGCCTCCGAGGCGATGCTCTCGGCGGAGCGCCGCTGGTCCATGGTGAGCAGGGCCTCCAGCAGGTCGTTGATGTCCGCCTTCAGCCCCCGCCGCTGCATCCAGTTCTTCAGCAGCTCGTACACCTTGTCGCCGGGGGGGCCGCTCTCGGCGATCCGGATGTGGTTGTCGCTGACGCCGATCAGCCTGAAGAACTTGTTGTGGATCCGCACGTCCAGGTACTCGTCGAACAGATCGAAGCTCTTCTTCAGGGATTTCTCGGACCCTTTGGGAAGGTCAAAGAGAGGAGAACAGATCGGGCGATTGGAAACGGAACGTTAAGCTCGGAATATCGCTCACATTTTCCCCCACGAGACACGTTGATCTTTCAGCCCACGATCAAATAAATCTCTTTAAGACGTGTCCTCTTTGATTCGGCATGAGAGAACAGAAAAACAGCACCAAAAAAGGGCAGCGTGTTCCAACCCCCGAAAGGCTCAGCGAGGGCCCGACTGCCACGAGGCCGTTAATCCATCACGCAGATAATGCAGATAATGCGAGATCCTCAGGAGATGCACTTTATTACATCTTATTACCTCCCTGCACAGCTCGCCCCGCTCAAATCAAGTGCCGTGAGAACCCGCCCCCCTCACCCAACGCCCCCACCTCCCCCTGAACATGAAATCTCACCTTGTACAGGCACCAATCGATGCTGCAGAGGATCGTCCTACAAAAATCAAACAACACACGTAAGGCATGGAGGGTGAAACACAGACGGTTTGAACGTGTCAGATCGGTTCCCGCACCGTGTCCGGCGGGGGCAGGCGGGCGGCGGCGGCGGGGCTCTGCTGGGGTGGGTGTGCGGGGTCATCGGAGGAGGCGGCGGCGGCGGTGGGCAGGGCCGACAGGCTCGTCTGAGAGGAGCTGGTGGTGTTGGGCAAGCTGTCTCCGAGCCCGCGGTCCTCGTCTTCCAGGGGAGGGGAGGCCTTGGTCATCCCGGTCTCCTGCAGCAGGGGGCGGGACTCCGGGCGGCACTCCTCGCCCTCCAGGCCGGCGTTCTGATGGTTCTGCCGCTCCTCGGCCGTGGAGCCGCTCTCGTCCTGAGCAGGAAGAGGAGGGTGGAGAACGTTGACATATCGTATCACAGACTCCTGCTACAAAAGCTAAACCCAAAAGCAACTTACGATTGGAATCTTCACAATTTCACTGGAGTCACAGTGGCTCCTTGAACCTGTTCAACAGACAAACAGCAGTAAGAACACATACGCAGTAAGAAAACCATGCCAGAGAGCGCCGCGTCAACTCACAGGGTATCTCGCATGAACGCCGCTTGACCAAGAGCCACCAAACAGCCAGCGCGGCGGCGATGGCGATGGCAATGACGATGAGGGAGATCCATACGGGAGCAACTGGAGACGAAGAAAAATCAGTACAGAGGAAGATTCACGCACGAACAGAACCTGGGATGTTGAGCAGGAGGCTTTCGCGTCGGTTACCGATGTCTGCCGGAGCGGCGGCGGCGGCGGTCGGGGTGGGGGGGACCGGCGGGGCCTCCGTGGGGGACAGGTCGCGCTTGCGACACTCGGTGTTGGAAATCGGGGTGCACTTCTTCACCTCCTCCTCCCCCGACTTACACCTGCAGTGTTAATAAAACATACAATAAGGGGGGGGGGGGAAGAGTTTGCCGGTTGCGCTGCTCTTCCTGCTGAGCGCTTTAGAGGAGAGGAGCGTTCTGCCACGTTGTGCACGAGCGGATGCTGTGCACGACATTCGCTCCTTGAAAAGTCGCGCCGGCACTAAAACGCCTTGGCGCCACTATTCATGACTCCTCTCATTCGTTTACTGTCTACTGGGACTGAATTAGAATCAAGCGAGGACGAATCGGATTAGCCAACAACGCGGTGGATGCTCAAGAATTATCCCGTTATCCTGAAATTACATTAAAAAAATGGACGCTGCCGATACTCCACGAACTGGAGGCTATTTTGGGGAGGGAGTCGCCGGGGCCTCACTTGGCACAGCGCTTGCAGACTTCGCAGGCCTGGTCCGGCACGCAGAAGGTGCCCTGTCGGCACTGGCAGCTGGTGTCCGTGGTCGTGGTGCAGGAAGCGGTCCGGATCTCATCTGCGGAGAGCAAAGATGTGAGAGGAGAGACGGTGAGTTTGTTTGTGACGCGTCAATCACGAGGGACAAAGGAGATGATAAAACAGTCTGACTGCATGTTGCCAGGTCAAATACAGACAGGCAGACATCAAACAGTGAATGATGCTAGATGTCATGAAGTTCAGCAATTATTCCTTTAGCAATTATGTGGTCAAGTAAAAAGAAAGAGAGATGAGAGATAGATAATAGCGTTACGTCTCCCCTCTTTGATAGAATTTGCCTCATTTTAGCAGAATAATGAGGATGGAAGATCTGGAACGGTACATTTATTAAATTCAGATGAAAAGAGCGGAACTGCGGCTCTTTATATCAGATCAAAAACAAGCCGGCGGTCCATCGCCACGGGGTGACCTTTCACACGGATCTCATCTGCAGGCTCGCCGATGCGGGGATAACTACACTATTAGCTCGGGTCGGTCGCAAAATGTGAGCGACGCATTCAGACGATTCACGTTTAGCCGTCTGCCAGGTGTCCGTACAAGCGACGGCGAGTATCAGATCCCAGAGCCGGCGTTCTTTCTCCGGCCGACCTCATGGTGACGATCGCGGCCACCGAGATGTTGCCGGGTAGACCGGGGTGGGGGGGTGGGGGGGGGGGAGCTGACACAGCTGTGGCTTAAGCTACGCTATGCCCGGCTATATGTGGAATCGGATCGCATGGGCAGAAACACGCGGCCGTGCATCCCCGCTGGATGAACGAAAACGCCGCTCGCTGGGCGTGTCGTGGCTCACGTGGCGTCTGAACCCGTGTCGGCCCCGTCAGGTCCTTGGAGCGCAGGAGCCTCCGGTGAGTCAGCTCGGAGCTATTTTGCGGTCATGAGTCGCTGAAAGAGCCGGAGGATCTGAGAGCAGCTGGACGGCCGCGGTGACTTAATACGAAGTTGGAGGCTCCACATTCAGAACCCTGGTGTTCTTTTTAATTCTGTTTTGAATATTAAATCAATTTTCTCGTTGGTTTAGAAATTGTTTTCGTTTGCCGCGTCCGCACATGAAAGACGCACATGATTCCGATTGTTTCTGCTCTCGCTACACAAACCTACTTAACTGGTTCCTCTGGCGAGCTACGGCGACAATGGGCTCTGTTGTCACAAATCAAATGTTACACAACAAATCAACACGTGATGGCAACTTTCCAACGCGGAGCCTTTTTGTTCTCTTCCAAAGACACTCGGATTAGAACACTTTCATCTCTTTGAGATGTTCAAAAACATGGAACCTGATAATGATAAAACATCTTGGACGGTTGGAACATTTGGGAAGTTTTCCACAAGAATCCTTTTGATTGTTCAAAAGCTGCTCTCTGACCGCTCGCTCCGTCACGTTTGTTTGTCTTTTGATTCCTTCGCCTTTTATCAGGAAACGGGGTCTTGCCGTTGCGCGTTCGGCTCCCGCTCGCGGCGCCGACGTTTACGCGGTTCCTTCGAGCGGAGCTGAAGAAGCAGCACGTTTCAGGGCGACAATAGAAGGGGTTCGTTTTTTTTAGGACTGGGCCACGAGGTCAAAGTCTGAATCCATTTTCACTGCCGCCACGGTTTCCCTGAGATATCAACATGGCCACGCGAGCTTGTTCCCATGGTAACACACACGGGACATGGAGACAACATGCAAGACTTCAAGAACTCACATTTGACATTAAGAGAAAATTCCTAAACAGGAGGAACTCTTTAAAGCTTAATCCACATGTGCTTTGCAGCGGCTCTCCTAATTATAACATGGTTGCAACTGCTAAAAGAACCGGAGCAAAGAGGCGCACAAAGCCCGTCAAAGCGCCATGAAAGGGCACAAAAGCCGTCCCGTGTAACAGAAGTCTCTTTTCTGCAGCGGCGGCCCTTTCAGTGGACACAAAGACGCCCCAGTGCGGGACACAATGAGACGACCACACCCAGTTCAGCCAGAAGGGTGAAAAGGCCACACAGGAACCCCCGAGGTCGGGACAGTGGTTACAAGTTCGTCCCACGGGACAAAACCACGAGGACACGCCCCGCACATCACAGTGTGGATCTCATCTGAAAGCCGCGGGGGAGAGAGAGCAGACAAAAAGGTGTTCAATTTCCCAAACCGTGTACATTCCACACGGCGGATTTTAGATGACCAGTTTGCAAATAACGGGGAAGGCAGTTTAGGGTCATTTCTTTTATTTTCTCTTTTGCTAAAACACCCGGTCCGTCCGAAAAACTGACACATTCTCAGTGTTTGTGAAGGATTTCTAAACGCACCCATGCACAGGGCGCTGGTCTCGTTACAATGTGAACTGGTGGTACAAATGTTACGCTTGAAAGCATCCAACCAAAGTGTCATTTCAACGATAAGCTAAATTACCTGAGCGGCAGTGCGTGCAGGGCAAGCAGCGGCTCATGCCGTTGGAGTGCTCCGTGTAGGCCCGTCCGTCCTCGCAGGCGACGCAGGAGCCGGACTCCTGGTCTCTTTCGCATCCCTTATGCACGAAGGTTCCTGCAAGCAACCGCTCAGGGGAATGAGACACAGGTCATAGGTCAAAGCTTTCTCGAACGTGGGAGAGGACGCCTGGAGGCTAAAAGAGTCTGCAAAGTCAGTCTGGTTACACGCAAGCTCGTGTTGACATAAACAACACGGGAAAAGTGAGCTTTAAAGTATCGGTTACGCACCATTTGATGCTGGGACATGTGTTTTGGGATTAAAACAAGCAAGTCAATCAAGTGGACGTGAAGCAAAACTAGCCAATTAAATAAAAAGAAACACAAGCAGCAATTGCATCTTGGCTTAACATGAACGAATAGAAGAAGGTTACGACATTCTTCACAGAATAAGTGGACACGGCCGGTGGGACTTAAATAGCCGCATGTCCCTCGCGCACCTCCCCTTACCAGCCGGGCAGTTGTGGCAGCAGAACCCCTGGTGCAGGTACTGCTCGTTCTCCACACACGCTCGGTGCTGCCGCCCGGTGAGGTTCTGGAAGTCACCGCCGGACAACTGCGACGCCGGCGGCTCGGCCGCGCGACACACCAGCACGAGGAGGAGCGCAGCCACAAACACCTGCGTTGTCGGGGTCATGGGGAGAAAGGGGGGGAGAAAACACATAAGCTTTGCGTTAGTTTAGGACTCATTACGTGAAGGACAAGCCGTCTTCAGAGGGAACCTGAACCATCTGATCTCAACGTCTGCCGCGGGGAGGCAGTTACGGGAGCCGGTCGGAACTAGCTAGCTACAAGCTACACGCTAATTACGCCACGCTCGGGTTGTCGGGTGGGCGGGGCCTGGAAGGAAGAGGCTCCACTGTGGGTGGAACACAGGAGGCGCCGATAAGGTATCTCCGCCCGTATCAAATGTGATTCCAGAGATGCATTCAGGTGCTGGGTAATAACAGGGCCTGTGCAGGTGGGGTTCTGAGAAGAATACAGCCCCCCCCCCCCCGGGGCGCTGGTGTTTATTCCCACCCTTTTCACCATGTCAACGTGAGAAGCCCCCATTTACTGGCAAACAACACACTTTAATGCCCCTGCTTTCAATGACCCCCATTCTTAAACCCAGAACTCTTTGAATGGCCCCACACGTGACACCGCCGTGCAGCCCCCCCCCCCCCTACCCCTCATCTACGACAACGCAACGCGACACCTCCTGGGTAATCGAGAGGCCTGGATTTGGAGGTTTTTGTCTCTCCCGTGCAACCGGGCTCCCACTGCAACCTCGGCCAGACCAGGAGAGAAAGGAACAGGTTACGGGTGGAGGAGATTGTAGAGAGCGAGCTGAAGATGGACAGTCTGCAGGGAATTGGTTTTCTAAAAAGAGCGTGTGGGAGAAAGAGGGGTATAAAAGGCTGATGGAGGTGGAGAAGAAGGGGTATAAAAGGCTGATGGAGGTGGCGAAGAAGGGGTACAAAAGGCTGATGGAGGTGGAGGAGAAGGGGTACAAAAGGCTGATGGAGGTGGAGGAGAAGGAGTATAAAAGGCTGATGGAGGTGGAGGAGAAGGAGTATAAAAAGGCTGATGGAGGTGGAGGAGAAGGGGTATAAAGGCTGATGGAGGTGGAGAAGAAGGGGCATAAAAGGCTGATGGAGGTTGAGAAGAAGGGCATAAAAGGCTGATGGAGGTGGAGAAGAAGGGGTACATAAAGGCTGGATGGAGGTGGAGAAGAAGGGGCATAAAAGGCTGATGGAGGGTGGAGAAGAAGGGGCATAAAAGGCTGATGGAGGTGGAGAAGAAGGGGCTATAAAAGGCTGATGGAGGTGGAGAAGAGGGTATAAAAAGGCTGATGGAGGTGGAGAAGCGGGCATAAAAGGCTGATGGAGGTGGAGAAGGGGTCATAAAAAGGCTAATGAGCGGCGGCGGGGAATGACGCGGCTCTCTGGAGGGACGCCATGCCTTGTTGTTCAGGAGAACTTTCCCCTCTCGCTCTCTCTGCTCACGTCACACTTTCCAAAGGCGGCGAGAGGCAGACGTGGACGGCGTCACAATCACACCATTTAGATCCCTCCAAACATTCTCTGGCAGGGGGGAGACAGCGGAGTGAAGGAAAGGGGGAGGGAGGGAGGGAGATAAAAAGGGAAGGGAGTGGGGGGCTAACGGCTTGCATGGTGCGAGTCTGTAGACCTGGATAGAGCGAGTGACACCCAAGGTCACCCAAACCCTCCTCGGGTCCAATGTGACGAGGCGCCGAACGCCCAGAAGTTGACTCATGCAGCCGCGGGACGAGTCCGAGAGTCCGAAAGCGTCCCGGCGACGCAGCGGTGACATCACTTCCAGTCTTTGTTCACTCCCCAGCGGTGCAGCTGCCCCCGGGACAGGTAACCTGCGCCGGCCGCGTCATCAACGGATCCTTCGCTCGACGGATTGTCGGACCATCTCTGTCCAGCTTTTACTTTGAAATAGTGATACCGATAACCTCGCCGCGGTCTCCTGGCTGCTGAACCACACCAGGGAACATGTGCACATAAACACTCTGGGCCGCCACAAAGTGGCTCGGTTTGACCGCCGCAACCGAGGAGGAGGAGGAGGAGGAGGAGTGAGCGTGACCTCAGTGTGGAAAGCTCTTCAACCCCCCAATACCTAAAAAAAATAATAATAATAACGGGCTTCAGCCCACTTGCGGCTCAAACAGCGTCCTATTGTCCAGCTTCCGGTCTGCCAGCACGATGGGTCAGCGCTCCGCTTGTGTGGATGAGAGTTAAACTAATAAAAAAAAAAAAGTTACAATAAAATAATGACGGGTCCCTGTGTTTATCTAAACAGTCGCTTCCTCCCAGCACAAACCGCCACACATGCCCGGCGCACTGAGAGCGCGCGCCTGTGACTGAATGACAGGACATCCTTTCAGCTGACTTGTGTTATCAATGGGCCTCTCAGAGGGGGCCGATAACTCCGTCTCCCCCTGCGGGACTTACAGCCAGTTATGAAGAAACCGGGGGGGGGGGGGGGCAAAAAAAAAACCAAACAAGCAATGAACTCTTGGGTGCACAAACAACGCAAGACAACGCCAGCGCAGGGAGGTTGTTCGTTTCGCATCGTCGCCAGGGGCAACGTGATGTACCTCATTACAGACGCATCACGCTTCTCTTATTTCGACTATTTATTCCTTTAACCAATTTTTTTTTATAGTTACGGTATTGTGCAGCGTGACAGAGGATTTATTATCAGTATAGTAATATTATTACAATACAGTTTAATGCGCACACAAGTGTATTAAAGCCTCGTGCGGCTCATAGAAAAGTGGCTTTGTAGTTCATTCCCTCCGTGTAATCCGGTTGTTCGGCGTAAACCAAACTGCACGCTGATTTGTTGCTCTGACAGAAGATTAATGAGTTCATCGCATAATAGATGGTCGTCAGCTCGGTGGGGTGGGGGGGGGGGGGTCAACGACCAAGTGGACAGCGATTATCAGCCGCTCCGGCTATGTTTATAAGTGTCTTTTTTTTCAGAGCGGTTAGTTAGATGACCCATGTATGGAACTCATTCGTTCTTCCTCTGAAACGCCGCGGCCTCCCGCAACCACAGGAAAGAAGAAACGTCCACCGCGCCTCACAGCCGTCGGCGCCACAGCTGATCAGAGGCTCAACCTGCGGCGGATCCACGGGGATCATACGGCCTCTTCGGCGATTAAAAAGAGGAGGCAGAAAGTATTAGTTCAACGGGTTAATAAGTCAAAGTGAATCGGCCCACCAGAGGATATTTCACGTACACAATCAAAAAGCGTCCCTGGGTGGGCTTGAACCACCAACCTTTCGGTTAACAGCCGAACGCGCTAACCAATTGCGCCACAGAGACGTTAGCGTCAGAAGGTGCCTTCATGTGGCTGTAGAGGTGAAGGTGTTTTCCACATATATAGTTTTGAAGGTGTTTTCCACATATATAGTTTTGATGGCCCCTCCTACTACTTTTGTGTGCAAGTTAGTACCTTTTACAATAAAAAAAAAGAGGTCGACCAATTTTCCCATTTGTACTATTTGTAGGATTGTCACGTAGGATCACAACGGCGTTTTTACCAAAAAAGGAGTAACAGAGGTCTTGAGATTTGTTCCAAAAGTACCAAACTCAAGAGAAACGCTGACCTGTAACGTACGTCTTCCATAACATGATTAGTGCATCAGTGAAAACTAATGTACACTACTAGTTTGTCGTCGTTTTTTCATTCAACTCAAATCTAATTTAACCAACATTTTTAACTTAATTTAACCAACACACGCTGCTCTTGTCCTTGCGTTCAACTCCAATCCGTCCGGGCCGACCTTGACAGGACAGTGAAAGCCGTGCGCCCCACCGATAAGACCTGACGTCTTTCCTCGAGTGATGAATCACGGCGACATCCTGCCTCGGAGGAATAGGACGCGGACAGGCCACGAAACTCGCTGCGGCGAACGTACATTCGTCACAATAAAGCATAACGAAAGAAAAACGAAATGTGTGAAAAACGCGTCGCGAAACCACAAAAGCTGCTCTCACACACACACACACACACACACACACACACACACACACACACACACACACACACACACACTCTACAGGGTTTATGTGTGGGAGCGTGTGAAAAGCGGCGGCCCCCTCCTCTCAGGGAGCACAGGAAGCTGGAGACAATACCGAGGCTTCATGCAGGGTTCAGATCCACAGCAGCCTCAGCTCGCCCCCCCCAGCCCCCGCCGGCCCCTCATCGGACTGGCGAGCGCATCCGCCGGGGCTGGATATTTATAAAACCTGCAAACTCTCCAGCTTCCTCCAGGAGGGGCGAGCGTCGCTGATTAGACGCGAGCGTAACAGTGTGCGTGTGTGTGTGTGTGTGTGTGTGTGTGTGTGTGTGTGTGTGTGTGTGTGTGTGTCGGGGCCTTTTTGGATCAGAGAAAAACAATCCGCGATGACGAGTCGACCTGCGGCCCCCGAGCGGTTGAGACGAGAGACGTAACGCGCCCGACCACATGAGAGCTGCCGTGTTGTTGTGACGTCAGCGCGAGGGTGGGTGGGGGGGGGGGGGGGGGCTGCTGGGGTTCTCCAGGTGCAAAAAGGTGCAGCAGCATTGGAGCGGGTCTCCAGCGTAGTTTCCAAAAGGTCGGCGCTGCTCGCACAACGCCGTCACGATGCACGCACGTACCCCCCCCCCCCCCCCCCTGTCACAGTAATGACTAATAGCTTCAAGTATGCGCAGGAATCAATCACCTCGCTCCAGACAATCGCATCAGCTCCATTAAAGCCCGTCTTTGTGTTAAAAAGGGGCGTAAATAGAGTCTGACAGTTAACAGACGTCTCCATAAACACATCGGTGCAAAAATGTAGAATATGTGGCTGCTGCAGCAGCTCAGCGAGGACCTAAGTGAGCATCAATAGGTGGATTTATGTCTTTGTAAACAGAAGTCCATTCTAAACTCGGGACAAAGGTTGGGCTTGTTCTTTAAGTCTTTAAACTTCTGTCATAATCCGCCCATTCATCCAGAGCAGCAGGAAGTCGGAGGCCGTAGCGACCTCAAGCCGCTCTGCGTCACGTTGACAAACCCAATCTGTGAAACCTCAATCGCTGAGCAATAACGCCGCTAAAGTTCATAGGATGGATCCTATCAAGTGTGGATTTTCTCGGCCTTCTCTGAGAGCAAACGACCGTTTGGGGTTTTGGAGCTTTGGACCTTTGGTTGGCTCAAACCAAAAAGTACTTTAACTCGGGCGGTGGAGAACAGCCGTGGGCATTTAGCACTACTTTCTGATACTTAATGGACCTATTGAGGGACTGATAATGGAAAAATAAACACTCTTTTGCAATGTGATCTTTTAAAGCTGCTGTAGGGCTTAACAGAAAATGTTTTTCATTCTCAGTGAATCCACTTTTTTGATTAATGGGTTTCTGACTGATTTTCCCACATTGGCTTTTGGGAGATAAATGCATGTGAGGGGCGACTTATTTCAGCTTCATGGTTTTCTCTCAGTTATATAAATATAAAAAAGTCCAACTCAGGCTGTAACTAAAAAAATTGCCAATGATAATCACCATATGGAAATGCAATGATAAAGAAATAATTATATAAAAAAACAATTCTCAAAACCATTACAGACACCTTTCTGTTGCAGCTCAAGTAGCATCAGGGGGAATATAGCGTACACACTTTGTAAATAGGAATGGATAACATTTGGGGGGGGGGGGGCTAAAAATAACTCAGGCAGTCCCGCTGTAATGTCCTCCAGCAGGACAGTAAACTCATGTGATTTGATCCGCGTGGTGACTTGGGGACACGCGGGGGAGCAGCAAGAGGATCGCGTGTGTTCCAATTGGAATAAGTTGCTAAATGAGTCATAAATGAAGCACATCAAAGCGGGTTGGTATGCAGGCCAGGTGGTGGCGCCGCCGCCCCCCCCCACCACCACCACGAGTCACCAGGTGCCTGACAACACGGGAGAAAGATCCACCTCCACCTCTCAAACACAAAGAGGCGCTCACAGCGGGGTTGTGTGTCTGTTGCACCACGTTGCATCAGTCGGTGTCCATGTCGGTGTCCCCCCCCCCCCCCCTTTTCAGCCCCCGCTGTGGCCGGCCACATGGTCGCCACAACAAAACAGCCATACGGCTACAGTTTTACCCGAGACCCGCCGCTTTTTTTTTGACCTCTGCTTTGCCCCGCCCCCTCCCTCCCTCCCTCCCTCCCTCCAGTGACAGCGTGGCCGCCGCTCGTCCCAGATGTCCGTCCTGCCCCTCGCCCGTGGAGGGCTATTTCCTGTGTGAACCCAGACGAGCCGTCGCAGATCGGAATCTGGTGAGCGAAGTGAAGCGCCTGGTATCTGCATATCTGTGTATTCCAGACAGGAAGTTTACTGGACAGCCCTGCACGTACTCCCGGGGCAAATTTAAGGGGTGTGTGCGTGTCGGTGGGGGGGATTAGAAAAGGGGGAAAGGGAGTGGCGGGGGGGGGGGGGGTGAACTTTCCCCACAGTCCCTTAGCAACAAGACCTCCAGAATGCACTGCGGTTTACAGAAGAGATAAACATTGACTTTGCCACCCGGAGACGTAAATCCGATTCCAGTAACGGGACACGGCTCCCGACTTCAAAACACAGCAGAGGACCAAGGAGGCAGATGTTACAGATGTTACATTCACCTCAACAGCTCAATTAGAGCGGCGCCACAGTAGCCCCGCTGCTACCAAAGGCCTAATGCCCCCCCCCCCCCCCATCGACCACCATGAGCTGTAATTTGCCTGTTAGGAACTCGGATTAACTTCTGTTTCCTGTCTCACTCCAACACGTAAAAGCTGTGACCTTAAAAACAAAAAAAAAACAAAAAAAAGGGGTTGGATGGGAGGCCTCGCCGTGGGCGCCATGTGACTTGCTCGCACGCGTTCCATCCAGAGAGCCTCCGAGGCATCGGCTGCGCGTCGAGGCCTCACAGTGAGCGCAGTATTTATAGTGTCAGCCCTGGTGCTGCACAGATGGAAAAAACAACAGCGGGAGGAATGAAAAGACGTCTCTGTGAGGCTCCGAGAGCCCAACGAACCTCCGACTCTCGGCTTTAATTGGCTAAACTGGCGAGGTGAATTCTGGGCTTTTTGGGGCACAACTCGAGGGCTTGTTAACGGAGCCCGGGGGGGGGCCCACGGACCGGGAGCCGTCTGAACACTGTGACCACATGATGTTCAACGCAGATGGCGGCTGGAAGGCGTCGAGGCTTGGAGTGGGGGGGGGGGGGGGGGGGGACGGACGGAGTGAACGACGCCAGCACATGGACCTCAAGAGCGGGAAGACAGGAGCCAATGAGCGCCCGATGCGCCGCCTCCTCCACGGGAATAAACACTTAAAGAGTGGAGACAGCGAACAAAACACAATGTTGCTTCTTGTGAGTGTGTGTGTGTGTGTGTGTGTGTGCGTGTGCTCTTGAGGGACAATGAGCGTGCTTGTCTCATCTTCTCAGAGTTCACAGGCCTTCTGGTCCATGTGAACTGCACAGCTTCACCAAAAAAAAAAGAAAGAGAAAAGAGGCAGTGTGTGTGTGTGTGTGTGTGTGTGTGTGTGTGTGTGTGTGTGTGTGTGTGTGTGTGTGTGTGACAGAGGACCGGTCGGTACTTTTGATTGAACCTCTTCTACACTTATCGGTAGAAATAGATCGATAATGACGTAATAAAGCCGCTATTAAACCGGTGACGAGGACACGGAACGCGCGGTTTACTTACAGGAACTTTCCCGACCGCCGGATCCAAGTTCATCTTGGGAGGAAATCCCGGCGACTCGGCGGCACGAAGCGAACCGGCTCCCGGAGTCTTTTAAAGTACACACACGGAAAGAGGCGCAGGGGTCCCAGCGGTGAAAGTATCCGATCCCCGGGACTCTGGTCCGCTTCCTCCCGGCTGACACCACTTTAGACGTGTTTTTCTTGGGGGGGGTGGAGGGGGGAGAGAGAGCTGAGAGTCGCACAGCCGCCGCGCGCTGCTCAACGCCGTCTTCTGCTTGCTGGGTTTTTTTTTTCTTTTCTGCGTCTGACGTCAGAGGAACACCGGCAGCCAATCAGAGCGCTCCAACCAGAATACTAATGAGCTGCTGATCGCTGCAGTAACAATGACGCCAGTGGTGGAATTCTGCTCAGGAACAGACAGCTGCTGCAGTGCTTGTTCTCACAGGTAAACATTATACTAATATGACAGTCTACAGGTTGTATTACTTTAGTATATATACTAAGTATGCTACATTTTACCAGTTCACACCCCTTCCTGTCCTCTGTTGACAACAAAGCACCAAATAATATAAAGATCTCATATTAAGCTAACACACATTTTATAAAGAAATTAAAATCACGGTAACCCTCAAAAGTGGTGATGTTAAATAAGGAATCAGATACAGCAGTAAAACACTGACAGGGAACATTTCACTGTACTTTTCATATGAGGGAATTTAGCTGATAACAATTACGTACTTTTTCAGTAAGATTTGTATATGTAGTATTTTTGAAAGGGTTGTATTAGTACTTCTACTTGAGTAGAGGACACTTTTTCTTCCACAGTGTATAAATAATGTACTTAAGTCAAAGAGAAAAAAGTACGACCATCAAAATGTAATCAAGTAAAGTATGAAAACAAAGCAGTGATTATCCAGAGGGGCCGATTGTAGAATAAAATGTATTGGATGATGCATGAATGTGTAAATCCCTTTGATGCTGCAGCTGGTAATAGTTTCAGGAGGTTTAATGACCTAAAGTTGAATCTAATCTAATCTAATCTTTTGTCTTTACTTAACCCCTAGTTGCACATTATCAGTCATTCATTTGCTGATAGTACTTTGCATTACCAATCTGAACCTAAACAGAAGTTAAATTAGATTCACATTATGAATATTTGTTAAGCAGAAGTGCAAAGAAGAAAAATATTATATACTGCTATTATATACTATTAAATACTTTTATAAAGTAGGTACCTCAAAGCTGTTCATTATCACATTTGAGCAAACGTAAAATAACTTTCCATTGCTGGTTTTCAAAGCAAAACAAAATATACTAATAATATAAAATCCTTTTTGCTCATTTCAAGCTTGAAGCTATTTCTGTGGCGTGTAAAATACGCTGCACTGATTTCATTAAAAATTGGAGGAGACTTATAAATCAAATGGCGCTTTGATCTCTATTCACTCATGAGCGACTCGCCCCAAACACTGCAGCCATTAACCAGCCCGAGTAATGTGTAACTCACCAGTGATAACTAAGCGAGGTGCGGCGAGCTGACGGAACGATCTCCTGACTTCTTACACGTTATGGGGCTCGTTTTAAGTCCAATCCAGCGCGACGAGGAACAACTCTTTTTTTTGTTCTTTGAGGGCCTTCCGGGACACGACGGAGCACATGAAACACTTTTTAATGATGCCATGACATTATTACACTGTTTGTACTGGCCTGTCAAACAACAAACATCCTCCCAAAATGTGGTTCCTGCTGACAACATCTTATCTAAAGTGGGTCCCGAGCCCGTCCATCCAGGGAGGAGAAAACGGAAGATATTTGGGGCGAACCTTCGGCAAACCATTCCAAGATAATTAACAAATAAACAAATAGGGCCAAAGCCAGTAGTACAGACGCAGAGATACTAGGTCTGCCCCCCCCCCCCTTGGGGCAGAGAGCGCTGTGATGAAAGTGGGGTTATGCAACTGCCGGCACACATTTCAGACACGTCTTGTCTCACTTCTCATTTCGGCCATTCGTTGAGTACCTTGTGACCAAAGTCAAGTGAGCTGATAGTGTCAGAATCGGTGCGAAGCGGAATGTGGACGCAAAGAGCTCGTGGTCCGCTCACGTTGGAGACTGTGGTTATTATAAGAGACGTTTATTTGTAATCAGAGTTTAGAGTACAGAGAAGCGGGTGGGAAAGTAGGAGAAAAAAGAAGAAGCCACTATCCTGTATAGGAGCTAAAAATAAGAAACCTCCTAATGTAAACTGATTGTACGAATGGTGCGGTTTGGCACGGGAAAACGGCGGAATCCAGACCCCTGTTTCTCTTCTCTTGCCAGAAGCCAAGCAGAAGCATCTCATCTCCTCCCGACAAAGTTAAGCGTTTCCCAATTAAAGCTATCTAGGAAATCTGTGTCTTCCACTTGGAGCACATCCTGTGCTCCTCCTCCTCCTCCCGAGGTCACCGGCTACGTGCTCAACAACAGGAAGCGTATGATTGAGTTATTTGCAGGCTTATCCTGAGCCAGTCAGTATTTATGGAAACGGGGGGCGATTAGTTCCCGATAGCACATTCGTACAATAAGAAGTTATAGAATCCATTCATTCTGATGTGTGAGTCCGCGGGACGTCGCTCGGGAGTCGTTTGCATGTCATGTGTGTGACGGTTGTGTGTGCGATCGTAGGTGTGCGCGCGGCAGATGGTGGCGAGTCGCAGTGTTTTTTTTTTTGTTTTTTTTCTGAGAAATGACCTGCGGAGGAAAAGGCAGAGAAAATAAAGGGAAGGGAAACCTTCCTGAGCGTCAGGATCTTATCTTGTGACGCCTGCTGGGTATTGTTTCACTTGCTGTTTGAAAGAAACACTGAAATGAAGACATGAGCCTTGAAGTTGTTTTCTTGTTGTGACCCTAAATATACTCCCTTGTTTCACCACACTGTGACTGTATCTCTGTACTGGTGGAAGAAACCAGGACAGGAAGTTGTGTGAAAATGAATCTGCATTCTTTGGACAGCGGGGACGCGGCGAGGAGAACGGCCTCGGGTCCCCTCGGCGTCTCCGCGGGTCATTAAACTTCTCCATCGGTCTGGGATCCGTGGCGTCCGCCCTCCCGACGGGCACATGTTTGCAAAAAAAAAAAAGAGAGGTAATGCGATTCCCCCCCACCCCCTCCCCCCAGTGCACATCAGCTTCTGCGAGCGCGCAACAATGACAACAACAACGACGACGACAACAGCAGCCCGAGGGCCAGCGGCGGCCTGCTGCACAGTCGCACGGGAAGAAGGTCACGGTGGGGAATGTTTTGCAGGGACGAGGGGGGGCTGGCGTCTTCGGAGCGTGACATTCTGGAACTTATCTATTAACAATGGATCACATGAGCGACCCACAGAGGGGGGGCGGGCGGGCGGGGGGGTCACAGAGATTACTTTACTTCTAAAATACTTCCTTTAATACGCACAGCGGCCCTTTGAGCTCAAAGCTGATGTTTAAAGGGTGTAACGTGTTCGATGTGTTGGTCTTTAGGAGCATTAGACAAACAGTGTCTCAAGGTGACAGTCAGTTGATGAAGTTGTTTTCATATTAACGGTTGCCATGGCAATCAATACAATACATTCACCCAGATTGAAAAAGTCAAAGCACCCACGCACAGCTACTGGGTGACGTGTCATGTAAACCTTCAGGGCGATTACATGTCAGAGCTATATTTACATCTTGGTTCGGGCCCCAAACAAATAGTTAAGTGCGTACAGCTCTGTGTGTCTGTGGTCAAAAACGTAATTAATGATATACACTACAAAAACAAACATCTGCCTAACAAGTCACTTACTTGTATTCTGCTTTCAAGAATTCAATTGTTAAACAGTCCAGTAATAGTATTCTTTTAATTTGATGAGGAAGTGGAGATAAGGAAAAAAAAAGACTGGAAAAGTGAGACAAATCCTTAAATTGGTTGATTTTATATAAATCTTGTGTATCTTTAGTACCAATGGAAAAAGTCCCTGAAGCCGTTTGACAAGAGCAGAAGACAAATGATGTGGGAGTTCCTGTCAAAAAGCAATATGGAAATACATTGTCGAGTGCCTTATTGTCAGATTATCTCACTCTTCCTGACACGGGGGGGGGATCCGAGTAGACGAAGGTGTTTGTTCGTGGGGCCGAGGCGAGGAGGAGAAAGGCCCGCGGGCCGGTTTCATCCGGCTGGAGGCGCGCCGCGTGTTCACAGAAGTGGATTACGATTGCGTGAGGAATGCTCGCCTTTGTTGAGGACCTCGGCGATGATGTCACCACCTCGTTCCCTGGCACCACCTGGCATGGAATCGCACGAGGAGGTCACGCGGTTTAAGGCAGCGATTACTCACCTGACTGCAATTAAAAAGGAAAACGAAAAGTGAAAGAGTCGTTCCTCAAGAGACAGGCCAACACATCGGCGTGTTTGCGTGAGCCGCGTGCAGGAATGTGTGTGGGTGTCTGATTCGAGCAGGGGGCGGGGGACGGCGTGAACGCTGTAATGGGAAAATGATATGTGACCCTTTTAAATGCTTCATTTGTATAACCAGTTTATTAGTTTGCAAGTGGTTAGATCACAAAGGCCCTGACATAAGAACTGATGTCTCCCACTTGGATTAGATGTTTCCAGCAGTCATAGCTGTAGAGATTGAACAAAGTGTTCGTTATGTCTATGACCACCTTTGTTTTAGCATGTTGGGAGAGAGGATAAGATGTTCCCAGTACCCTGGTTGTAGATACTCAACAAGATGGTCAAAGGTTTCTGTTGACGCCACCGATATCTAAACTTAGGTATAAGAACTGCCTCGATGTGTTGGGAGGGGAAAAAGGAGGTTCTTGACAGTCTACTGACCACGTAGCTGTTGTGACCCTTTTTCCCTTGCAAGGAAATAAACGGAGAAAAGACACACTTGACTCAGAGCCTTTGTTTCTTACTTAACGATTGTCTGTGCAAAATCTTCCACCACAACGCTTAAAAAGAGAAGAAGTTTGAGTGAGCATGGAGGGAAAAAAAAAACGGGAGCGAAGCGAGCGGCGTCTGCACACGGAGCGACGGAAAAGTGAGAAGCAGCGCGTTGGAAAAACACGGCGATTGGGAATCGGGAGGCAGAAGCCGCGAGGCCTCCGCTCGCCGTCTGATCCGCTGAGAGACAGTTGGCAGCAGAGGGCCGACCAGCCGCGAAAGTGCAGCAATTCAAAGCATGCGACATGACGCCGTCCCCCACAGGCTCGCCCCCGCTCACCCAACACACACACACACACACACACACACACACACACTTGTGCATCTGTACACCTTGTAAAAGTCACAAATGCTTCATTCCGCGTGATGCAATTATTCACAGTTCCAGCAAATCTGGGCTGCGGCTTAATCTCGTAGCTTAATGGCCCGGCGCCTCTTGAAGGAGACAGATCCTCCAAACAACTGCAGGGAATTTAACGCGCTGGCGTCAGATGCTCGGCTTCACCGCCTCCAAAGTTTACAGGCGAGGGAGGAAAAAAAACTAGTTTGCAATTATCGCATTACACTTGTGTGAGAAAAGAGACTCGGCGACGCAAGCGATCTTCTGCTCCACAGCTATCGAACACGCGGGGCGGAGTGTCTCCTTCCCGCCGACGGCGCGCGAGTCGGCACTTATGAGATAAGGTCCGAGTGAAGATGGCGTTGCCGCGGCAACGGGAGAGGGTGAACAGATTCAAGGTCAACGGCGGGAGGGCAGAGGGGGAGAAGAAAAAAAACGGGGAACAAAAGAAGGAGAGCGAACAGTTGGCGAGAGGAAAACAAGCTTTTGTAGGTTAGTTCTCATGAGCTTCACATGACTTGCACTTAGCCCCCTCGCTCCACTCCATTCTTTATCCCCCCCCGCTTCTCCCTCCGCATAGAGCGCCCTCCCTCCCTCCCTCCCTCCCTCCTTTCCTCGGCGACTTCCCACCCCGCTGTCCTTCCCCCTCCTCCCCGCTCAGCACATAGACTTCCTGTGTGTCCTGGCCTGAATGGTATGCGCATGGAGTGGGTGTCTGGGAGGCCTTTCATCCGGCATGGAAAGAAAAGGAGAAAAAAAAAAAAAAAGTTCATCTTTAATCCTTCTGAGTCGGAGCAGTTGTCCATAGGCGGGCTGGCGGGCAGGGGTTGGGTCGTGTCAGATGGGGCAGGGGGCTCTGGTTGTGGGTTATGATGTGTATGAATGATTTTGTGTGTTGTGTGTGTGGCGTCTGGAGGGGGAACAGAGAGGCCTGCAGCCGTCCCGGGACACGTGACATCCGGCCCGGGACGCGGGTTTACACGGGCCGAGCGACGGCAGAAGGGATCAAACATTAACCGGCCATCGCGCTCATAACGTGGGAAAGGGGACGGAAAACAACAACAACAACAACAACCGAATCCACACGTCCAAAGTGTGCTGTGACAAAACGCTGATTGTGTGGGTCGGCGGCGGCGGCGGGTTAACAGAAGTGGAATGGGAACCTTCGAGCCCCTGCAGCCTGGTGGCGTTGTCAGACAGGGTGTAGCGGGCCGCTGAGTGCCAGACCCCCCCCCCCCCACTGAGAGGGGGCACACATTGCTCATGTCATGGAAACAAGCTACGTCCAACGTGGAGCCGGTGGGAGCAGACGGAGCAGAGGAGCGTGCAGTGCCATCTGCTGTCTACTTCATAACGCGCACACAGAAGCCGACGCTCATCTGTAAACACGTTTGCTTCGTGCGCGTCGGTTGTGTCACCCGGACGCAGTGTGTCGCCACATCACCAACGCATGGGAGAAAGACGTGGAAAACTGTATCTTTGGGCTTTGCACACATTATAGCACAGATAAATATGCTTATTTTGGCCCCACGACGAAGGCTTGTGTGTATTTAAGTTGCCTGTTGATAAATGCCTCACTCATTTAATTAGGGAAACCATCTGAATGGATGTTTATTGAACCGTGAGCAGTCGGGACAGAATTTAACGACAGTTGGCCGGAACGATGAAAAGCCGAGTCGGGTTACTGAAATGAAGAAGAAAGGAAACAGATGTATAAACACAGATTAACAGCCAATCCCGTTCTGTCACAGCGTATTTATTTCAACACAATACACTATATACAGTTTTAAAATGGAAATTCTCGGACAAAGAAAGGAGAGAAAGAACCTCTTCTGACCATAAACATTCACGCAGGTCTCAAACACGTGGCTGTAAATGCATCTGTGTACGTAACCCATGAAAAATAAAGTCAGTTTCAGCGGACAAACAGGCAGTAGCTTTAATCCTGGAGAGAGACGCAAAGAAATGGAAAACAACGAGAAAAGAAGTCGGTCACTAAGGTTTTGAATTGATCTTTCGACACGTTCGATGAAGTGAACCGCTGTTGTTTTCTCTTCTGCCCCAAAGCAGATCTCCGGATAGCGAGCCGAAATAGCCGCTGCGCTGCAGGCCGGACGGGCGGACGCACGACGCAGCTCTGTGGACACGGCGAGGTTGAGGAGAACACTCAGGGTCGGTGTGGCGGATTTTTATACGACAACAACAACAACAACAACAACCACCGCCACAGAGCCCTGAGCCGAGGAAATAAAACAAGTCGAGTCAAGCCTCAAGGCGCCCAGCCAGAAGGAGGCTCCAACAATGTCCGAAGTCATCGCGGCCTCCGTGAAGTCTTTGCTGGAGTGATCACCAGGCGTGACAATCCCTCCCCTTTCGGCGGAATTCGCCGTTTTGAAACCAAAATAGGTGACCTACGTGAATCGTGTAGATTCGATGAGGTTTTTTTGGGGGGGGGGGGGGTATTCATATTCCGTGAATTGCGAACAGGGTGAGTGATGGTTGTAATATTTTCTGGTATATCCAAGTTAAGTTACCCCGGAGCTTTGTTGACATAGACTTAGCTAACGTTAGCTACAGCTGAGTTGAGTCATTTAACGCGGCGTTGGCCAGCTAGCTAAAGCTCCGTTAGCTAACGCTAGCGTTTTTGAGGAGGTAGATGTTGAGGCGAGGGGACTGACGAGGCAGAAGGTAAAGTGCTCCACCGTTCTATCAGTAAGCAGACCTGCCAACCCGATACGCATTCTGACCTCAAAGTACGATGAACGAATCATTGACCTGAAGACACGGTCGGGGGGGGGTGAATATATCCTACCCCCCCCCCCCGTCAACGAATGACTCGAAGAAAGAAACCAGTTGAAAACCCCTGCCCTAGAGGGGTAATATCCTTCTCACCTTTTTCACCCTTGACCCGTTCTCACAGGAGGAACGGTGTCCCTCGACTACCCCGACATGTCTACACAGCGGAGCGTCTTCTCCCCTTCGCTTCGGTCCCCAGGGATGACTGACTGATCCCTTCCCAAGCTCAAAAACATCTGGAAACCCCATAATGGATCAAATCAAGGTTTGCCAACCATCCCCGCCCTCCCCCCCGCCCACACACACATGGCACATCGGAGGTATGCATGTGTGTCTTTCAGCTGGGACGGTTGTGTTCTCTCTTCTGAGAGCAGCCGCGGGGATCATGTTTTCCCATTTTAGGCCGAGGCGACGGCTCCGCAGGGGGGTCCCGCGGCCCCTCCGGGCGTCGCCGGGGGACCCGTTCCTCCACAGCTGTTGGAAGAAGTCAGCAGAAAATCCGCGTGTGACTAAAAAAAATGAGCCGTTGATGAAAGGGGAGGAAGGAGTCGGGGGAAAACGTCACGGTGGCGACTGAAGTCCTCGCCGTGGGAGCGATAAATATAAACGCTGGTGTCCCGCACTGAGGACCGGAGGGGCGATGGAACTGGTCCCAGTCGCCGCACTCAGGACAAAGACAGCGTTGCATCAGCTTCACGTGGCGAATCACTTTAAAAAAAAGGGGGGGGGGATTTCCTCCATGAATCAAGAGGCTCAGTAACATTACAATCTATTCATATTACTTTAGTTTGTGCTGGAAAGGTTGATCGGTTCGATAGTTGGACGGATCGGTTTGCGGGAGCAGGGCCCGTGCAGAGGTAGCACTGTGGTTACGTACGAAGCCGTATAGCAACAAGTGACTCATCCGTTAGTCAACGGAAGACAAAGCTAAAATGTCAATAAATGTCAACTTGAGCTTTCGGGGGAAACGAGCGTGCTGCTGCAGCCTCAGTCACTGGGAGCGTTACCTCTCCTCAAACAGAAGCTTTGTTACGAGCACAGACTGCATCACGTCGCGCGAGCCGCCGCTAATTTAAAGCACTAATTGGGTTCTACTGCGTCACGTTGGCTGAGGTTATTTTTGATGCTTGCGTTTACTCAGAATGGCCAAAACCTGCTTAATATTCCAGGAAGAAAAACCTTTGGACTCGCTGACAAAACTTTCCCATAACACTTTTAAAATCCAATTCATTTGATTTAGATTTCCTCAACCCCCCCCCTCCCCCCCACAGAAGAGTAATTCCATACTCGCACACATCCCAGCATCCTTCTGATCAAAGCGACTGCGTAAGTTGGGGTTTGCTGTCGGTTCGCCCGTCGGGCTGCGGGTGCGAATGCATTCCGGGCGTCGGGCTCTGCAGCCGCTGCTGGAGGGCGAGTGCGTCCTCACAGAGGTTTGTCTCCACGCTTTGATGCAAACAGGCGACTGGCTGATGCACCCGTTTGATTATTTGGCATGTGTGGCTCATTGAAAGCAGATTATCAGGATGTCTGGCTATGAAATGACAGAATAAATCAACGGGTATTTGCTTTTAAACTGTTGAGCCTTCACATGAAACGTATTAGTTAATCAAAAGAATTGTCTGAGATTTGGTGGAAAATTGCTTAGTTGCTTTTGTGCCAAAGGTCAGAAATGAAGATTGTTCCCAGAGTGGAGTCAAGATTTACATCCAACTCTGCACAATAAATTTGATGGCTTCTCAAAACGCTGAAATATGATTTTAAGTATCTCCAAGAGGAATGAGAGCGGAATCTTCCACCCCACGTTTTAAACGTTTAGTCTCTTTGCTGAGTGCAGTTTTTTGAGGTTTTACCGGAGCTGATTTCTCCACCATAAACTCTTATTAAATGACTAGTGAGATGAAAAGAGAGAGAGAGCCAACACAGAGTTCAACACAAAGTCACTTTATCATGTTTGGGGGGCGGGTGGAGCGAATCTAGCTGAGACGAGAGGACACAGGAGTGGGAGTAAATAATGACATCCAGGTATGATCCCCCCCCCCCCCCCCAAAAAAAAAAAGCCAGCTCAAAATAAGCCACACGTCATATTAAAATCTGGAAAAAAATGAAGTCCCAGAGGATGTAGAAAGCACACACTTAAGACCACTTAAGCCCACTTTGCATTTAATGCCGCGTCTCTGCTGGAACGAGTCCCCGATGATCCACGCGGCGAGACGCTGTCATCGGAGACGATGGGATCGCCGGGATTCCTCTTTCTGCTTCACACGGAGTGGTAGAAAGCGTCTTAAAATAACTGTTATCCGGAGGTGGGGGAGGCGTGGGGGGGGGGGGTCAAAGCACGCTTTGTAAGGTTGCATTTTGAATGGTGATCAGATTATCCAGCGTCCCGTACATTGCGTCCGCTAACATCAGAGACACGCTGCAGGAGAAGCATTGGGAGATCTGCAAAATGCATGACAACAGAACGACGTTACACTAAACATTTTGGACTGTTCGGGGGGAGGGGGGGTCGGCACGTCCGATCCTGGGAAGGTCACAACACCGGCGTAGATGGGTCTAAAACACACTCCACCCTCCTGTCCCCTCAGTCCTCCTCGCACACATATCCACAATCCCTCACTACAGGACATCTCAATCACAGATGGGTGTGGGACACTTATATATCTCTCTAAATGTTTCTCAGTAACACAAATACCTCCCCGTCGGTCCGCAGGTGCTGTTTGTTTCGGCGGGGGGGGGGGGGTTCCTTTAGTAACTGTCCATCGCTGAGTCCTCAATGTCTGTCCTCCTCCTCGCCACAGGTTAGCTAGTACACCCGGTCCTCGGTGTCCATGCAGCAAAGGTTCATCGCGGTTGTTATCTGCCTCGGACCCGTCCTACCCGAGTTGAGTGAATTCCGAGTCCCGTTCTTGTCTGCTGCAGCTCAGAGTGGACGTCCTCGGGGACTGGACCTTTCCAATTTCCTCCAGGGCACTGGCCAGAGAGTCCAGGTCCCCCGAGTCCTGGTGCTGGGCTTCCCACAGGCTCAGAATCACTGATGACGGGCTCTCCTGACACGCAAAGTAGCACAGGTTCCTGCAGGCGACGAAAGGAGACGAAAACGAAACTGCGTTAGAGACGGACAGGTGAAGGACATTCTCAAAGGGTTACCACGGCATCACACTTCATATGAGACACACAGAAAAAAGAATAAACCAAATTAAAGACGCAGAGGCCAGAGGAAGACCGACTTTCTTTTGTTCCCTTAAATAAAAATGTAAATTTGCTGTACAGAAATCTGCCAGTAATGAGATGAAGCGAACCGCTTTCAATAAAGGTCAACAACAGTTTCTCCACTCGCTGTAAAGGCTCCCATCCAGCAGAGGGCGCTGTTTCATCACGATGCGATCTCATCGGTCGCCTCTTTTAGTCTCCACGTTCCAGCACAGTACGAGAAATAATGACGAAAATCGGCTTAACGACTTTGAGGCGTCCTCATTACGGCTTATTGGTTTGTTCGACCCGGCTGGATAAAAAACAACAACTCTAGAATCCTCTTCTGTTCCTCGCTCACAGATGTCTGTTTTCAGCCTCGGTTTCAGTGAAATTCCTTGATCACGCACAGTTTTCCGTCACAGTTTCTTGGTTAACTTTTCCCTCTCATGTTCCCCCCGAGCCACGGAGAACGCTCGTATTCCCGCCCTTTTTTCTCTCCCCCTCAAACGGCTGACGGAGCTGACTGCACAGATCTAATCTCCCTCTTGAAGATTATCTTACTGACGTCTCCTCGGAAGCACAAATGGAGATCACCCCCCCCCCCCCCCCCAAATCCCCCCATTCCAAACAACCCAAACCCTCCACAGCCTCCACGCAAACACTGACCTCGCTAATCACGAGCGCCAACCTGCCAGGAGCCGGCCCGTAAAGCACGCCATCTTATCTGCAGTTTCCCCGCTGTGCTAACGTTGGCCCTTACACCCCCGCCCCTTCATCTCCTTCCATCTCTGCGTGCACGTGTTCCCAGATCTATAATGAAATCAGCAGCGTGGCGTGTTACTGAAGGCTGCCTGGCGATGGGAGATTAGAGCCCCGACGCGGTGCCTAAATTCCCGATTAAAAAAATAGTATTCAAAGTGTGAGCGACAGGCGAGAGACCAGTGAATGCGGCGTTTCATCATTCTGCAACGACGCCCCGCGAGGATTACACCTGAGCCGCCGCCGTGACTCGCCGAGAGCCGACCGACACACCCGCATTGAGCGGCGGTGACGAGGCGGGTTTCTTTGTGGAGCCGGGGCGCCGTGCGATACCTGTCTACGTGGAGCTTCTGAGCCAGCAGCTGCCAGTCCTTCCCCTTGGCGTTGGCGGTGTCGAAGGTGGCGCTGATCCGCTGCCGGATGGAGGGGGGGATTTTGAAGGCCCTCGAACCCGTCTGAGAGGTGACGGTACAGTCCGACTGGGTGAAAAAGGGAACCACTCCCTTTTCGCTCTGGCAGCCGGGAGAAAAAGGGGAGGGAGGTGTCAGGGTGATTTGGAACACGAGGACGAGACGATTTGCGGTGTGCATAAAGAAGCTATTAACAAGGCGGCGGCGGATGCCCCCCCCCCTCCCCCCTCCCGTCCTGAGGTAGGACCACCCACCTCCACCACCGACGTGTAGACCTGGAGGATCCGCTCCTCGCCCTTCACCTGTCGGACGGCGATCTTGCAGGAGAGCTGCGAGGAGGAGTGGCTGTGTCGCTCCAGGGAGAAGGCACACCGCAGGGGGCGCCGGCTACCGGCCCACACCTGAGCGAAGGAGAACTCCTGCAGAGCATGAAACAAGCGCGCTGAATCCAAATACGGGCAAATGAATTACCGTGTACGTCACACGCAAACTGACTGCTGCCCGGGAGGAATAATCGAGATAGAGGTGCAACGATTATTCAGTTAACTGTCAACTTAATTAAATGGAAAGTATTTTGATAATTGAATAATTGGTTTAAGTAATTTATTAAGGAAATCAATTGTCCATCTTCTTCCATGTGAATACAAACTGAATTAAATGGAAAAACACATTTTTGGGTGTTGCCTTGAGAGACTCTGAAAGTCCGAGACTTTCAGAGATCAAGAAGTAAAATATATAAATAAAAACAACCTTTGGTTGTGAATTACTTACTAATTATAACCAACAGCAGCAAGTCATGTGCAATATTACAGACCTAAGCATCAGTAACATAAAAAGTCAATAGCAATATAGGTAAATTCATGAAACAATCCTATTTTCTAAAGCCCATTGCAGTAAGTCTCCAAGTAGTATTTATAACTATATATTTTCTTTTCCACTTTCTTATAATAAGCCTTGAATATCCTTGTAGACTCTGTTAGATCAGGAACTGTGACATGATTGTGGATTCCTGACCTTGATTCACCCAGTTTGCCCCCCTGTTTACCCCCCGATGGCGGCAGCTGAAAAACCAAAAGTATCAGAGCTTCGGAGTAAATGGAATCCAAAAAGCCAATTTCCTCTTCCGATACGAACTGCGCTGCGACCCAGACAGAGAGGACGGGTTCCAGAAACAGAGCTCCATGGATGAATCGCCCTCTCTGCAGACCCATCAGACGTAAAAGCCTCCTTTAGACAGCAGTGAATGAAAGCACACGCCGCCATCGTCCTGCACATCGTAGCCCCCCCCGCCCCCCCAAGGCCGCCTTGTTCGTATTCTGGACGCACTACTGGGGGCTGACCCTGCAAATAGGATGTCACTGGTGAGATAAACATCACAGGGGAGAGCAGAATATGCAGCATGCAAGACCCCTAGGAAGATAACTAGCAGAAGTGACCGGCGGTCATAATTAATTTGGGGGGCTGAGGGGGAGGGGAGGGGGGGGGGGGGGGGGGGGTTCTGCCGCCCTTTCTGTTGGCCCTTAACTTTGAAGAAACCCCCCCAAAAAAAGGGGGGAGCGTTCTTAAGGAGGGCCAAAAGAAACTGGCGAGATGAAGGTGCACGCTGATGAAGCAGAGCTGAGTTCACCTTCACCAGGTCATTGCTCTTCAGCAGGACGACATTCGCCGGAAGTAAGAAGCAAACAAACACAACAGCATCTTTAAAAACGATGTACTTCAAAACGATGAAACCAGTAGTGCAAGAAATGCACATTTACTGGTTTGGAGTCAGTGAATATGAGCCTATGAGTCTATTAGTCTATGAGCCAAAGAGTCTAAGAGTCTTAGAGTCTATGAATCAGAGTCTAAGAATCAGAGTCTATAAATCTGAGTCTATGAATCTGAGTCTATGAATCTGAGTCTAAGAATCTGAGTCTATAAATCTGAGTCTATGAATCTGAGTCTATGAATCTGAGTCTATGAACCTGAGTCTATGAATCTGAGTCTATGAATCTGAGTCTATGAACCTGAGTCTAAGAATCTGAGTCTAAGAATCTGAGTCTAAGAATCTGAGTCTAAATCTGAGTCTAAGAATCTGAGTCTATGAACCTGAGTCTAAGAATCTGAGTCTATGAATCTGAGTCTAAGAATCTGAGTCTTAGAATATGAGTCTAAATCTGAGTCTGAATCTGAGTCTAAGAATCTGAGTCTTAGAATCTGAGTCTATGAATCTGAGTCTATGAGTCTGAGTCTATAAATCAGAGTCTATGAATCTGAGTCTATGAGTTTGAGTCTATGAATCTGAGTTTGAGTCTATGAATCTGAGTCTATGAGTCTGAGTCTATGAATCTGAGTCTATGAGTTTGAGTCTATGAATCTGAGTCTGAATCTGAGTCTATGAATCTGAGTCTAAGAATCTGAGTCTAAGAATCTGGGTCTAAATCCGAGTCTGAATCCGAGTCTAAGAATCTGAGTCTATGAGTCTGAGTCTATGAGTCTGAGTCTATAAATCAGAGTCTATGAATCTGAGTCTATGAGTTTGAGTCTATGAATCTGAGTCTATGAATCTGAGTCTATGAGTTTGAGTCTATGAATCTGAGTCTATGAATCAGAGCCTATGAATCTGAGTCTATGAATCAGAGTCTATGAATCAGAGTCTATGAGGCGCCTACCTGGCAGGTGGTGAAAGGCTTGATGCTCCACAGCAGCTGTGGGACGTCCTGGATGGACACCTGGAGGCTGAAGGTGTTCCCCCTGAACAGCATCATCTTGGGCTCCTCCAGCAGGCGCCCGCCCCTGCTGCGCTCGCCAACTGCCACCTCCTGATGAGGAAAGGGGGGGGTCTCAGAATAACTTTCTTAGTTTTATCTCATCTCATCTGGAGAAACCGCTGCAGTCATGATGTATAAAAACCAAAAAACCAATCCAGTGATTGGGTGGGAGCTTCACAGTGCCTCCCCTCCCTCCTAAAATTCCCCACACCTGGTGGTTGAGGTGACAAGACGCTTTCAGTGAGACATGTTGTTTACCCACAGAGACCAAACAGAAAAATTCTGTCTTTTGTCAATATTATACATATATATTTACGCTATTCAATATTCTATTTGTTCCAAGGAACTATGGATAAAACATCCCTGCGCGCGTGTTATGTCCATGTTTGCATGGAGGGGGGGGGGGTTGAGGGGGGCACACAGACTTTACGGTTCTTCAGGCTCTTCTCTGCCTTTACAAATCTGTGGTTTTGTGTCTCTTAGTGGTGATTTAGATCTTCTCCGTAGTTGCTTTGTGTCTCTTTGTTATTTCTGTTTTCTTTCTGCTCATTATAGTCTCTGAGTGCCATTTTATATTCTACTACTACTACTACTACTACTACTACTAGTAGTAGTTGTAGTGTGTCACAATAAACCTGCTCAAAAGTCATCTTTCATCTGAGAAAGATGCATTGTCTTAAAACACGTCCCTGTATCTCCATCACATCTTGTTTGTGAGGCGACTGGTCCTATTTCAAGTGTTGGGACATCGTTGGAGTTGTTATTAGACGGTTAAACACTTCCTAGGAAGCCCGTGCAGCAGTCCTGCCACGGGGGGGGGGGGGGGGGGGGGGGGGGGGGCGGTGGGTCCGCGTGCACGGTGCTTTTCCGCCTCAGTCTCACCGCTCAGAGACCGAGAAAGGGGAACACTGACATCCGGATCGATGCCTGCTTCAGGCTCACGGGGGGGAAAAAAAGAATCGTCCCGTGAAGCACAAACAAAAGAAAGAACAAATAACCGCGTCTGACGGCTGGAGAGGAGGACCGGACTCCCTCTTGGCCCCCGCTGCTAATTCATCTTAGTTCACACGCAATTCTGCATCTCGAACGAAGCGCCGAAGAGAAAGCGCGGCCGCCGGCTTTGCAGGAGAACTGTCAGCACTCGCACAGAAGCAGTTGAGGTGTACGAGTGTGTTTAATTAAGATGGAGCCAATGAGTATGGAAGGGACAGAGAACGCTCGTCTGTGCAAAGGGCAGCCGCTCCTCAGAGCGCCACAGCGACAAACTGCTCAAGTGTCTCGCCGGACGTGTTCGGATACACGCGCGTGGAACGCGCCGCCGAAACGCATTTAATTAACAGACAGCAGATTCAATTACGCAAAGAAAGGGCAGGGAAGCAGCCTTGGGGGCATCTGTTGTCTTTGTAATTAAAAGTCCCTCTTTGTCTGCTCGTCATCAGGCATCCCCCAGTGGCGATGTGAGCAATCCTCACAGGCCGAACCGCCTGCCGCCGCCACCCGACCTGCTCAAATCAAATATTTATAGAGTTCCGTGGGAGAGATGGACAATGTTGTCGCACCAGAGGCCTCAAAGGAGAGCCTGGACGTTTCAAACACGCATCCAAGGAGCCGCAGCTGTGCTTTTCTTTCAGATCTATTTGCTGAAATAGATCTGCAAGTGCTTTTCTCCCGTCTGGACACGGCCCTTCCTACCTGTCTGATCCCCTCAAACCTCGTACTACCAGTGGGAATGGGAATATTTTCAACCCCCATTGAGACAATCAATCCAATCGTCTTGACTTAAAATGCTTAAAACACCTGAAGTGTAAACTATTCAGTTCCAAGCAAATAACTTTCTCGCCAGATCGAATCCACCTCCTCGCTTCCTTCCGCCTCCTCCCGCTTCCCACCTACCTGAAAAGCATGCGGGGTGTCGTCCACACAGTAGACCCGCAGGGTGAAGCCCAGGGAGTTGCCGGCGTCCGGGCTGCCGAACGCCGCCAGCCTCAGCCGCTTGGCGGCGTCCTGGTTCAGCGGCTCGCCCACCAGGGCGTAGCGACCCGGGTGGTCCAACAGCACGTGGCACCTGTGGGTCTCCAGCAGGCAGTAGCAGGACGTGCTCTCCTCGTCCACCGACACCACTTCCTGTTGGAGCGAGACGCCGGAATTCAGTTCGAACGTCGACAGTTCATCCGAGGGCTGAATGCCGATTCATGATGTTTACGGTTTCAATTACTGCCAAGAACTCGTTTGCGTACGCAGAAAGACGCTTTGACTAAACCCTCGAACTGGGAGCTGAACCCCAGGCAGCGTGCCGATGTCATGCAACAGGCCCGCGGGGCAGCGGGTCACACCGGAGAGGTGGCCGCGCCGCGTGAGGACGCTATAGACACACTGGAAGCCTCCCCTCACTCACGTAATCAGAAGCAGCGGCTGTGCAGAGCTGAAGGCCGGCCAAAGGAATGATGACACATCAACTAGACAGAAACGGATCAGCGGGGTGCAGCAGCTCCTCGCCGCGCGCTCAACCCTCCCCGCGAGTCACCTGTGGGACTTCACCGTGACCCACAGGTCCCCTCTGCATATGTCCCGCCGCAGCCATGCTAAGCAATGAGGGCTAATTCAGTGGCACAGCTTCCTCGGGCAGGTGGGGAGAAAGGATGACGTCAAACTCGAGCGGTGCAAAAGTGCACGCTGTAATGGAAAGTCACCGAGAGGCTGACGGGGGGGGAGAGAGAGAGAGAGAGAGAGACCTCCTTCTTCCATTATATGACTAATTCCAGAGATTAGGTTCTGAGCAAGCACCCTCCCTGAGATAAAGAGCTCATTACTTCCCAGTGATAGAGACGGGTCACGCTGTAACATTTCCTTGGACTAAATCCCCCATTCTGTCTGCGAGCCGGCCTGTTTCCGTCTCTCTTATTCCCTCCTCTGCGATGGCATATAGCCTCCCTCCGGTGATGGCTCTTTTGATGGCTCCCTTTTGTGCTGCACCTCTGCTGGCAAATTACGTCTGTGTAAATGTCACACGGAGTGAAAGAGACCCAGCTGGGGGGAGCCGGAGAGAGGGAGACAGAGAGAGAGAGAGAGAGAGAGAGAGAGGGGGGGGGGCGGCGCCGCGGCCCCTCAGAGGTCACGCAAACCTCTTTGACGAGGTTAGTCAAACATTAGAAGAAGCGTCGCGCAGACGCGTTCCGTGCCGAGGCGGCGGCGCGGAGGGAGGCTGTTTGGACTGAAGTCAAAGGTGTGAAGTGGGAGCAGCTCGACGGGAGGGAAACGCGTCACAGGCAGCAGGGCAGTGGACTTGCACACCTATTCAAATCATTTGTCTTTAAACCTTTCAACAGTTTCAATATTTTCCTGCAAATTCTACTTTCAATACAACTAAATTCGGGGGCAGGACTCGGCTTGAGCTCTCCTTCTTTGAGTTACAATTATTTCTGCCTCGCTCATCGTACTTCCTGTCTCACTGCTGCAAGAACGTAGTTATTTCTTTCCATCGGGTACAAAATAGTTTATGATATTTCGTCAGGACGAAGATAATAACATTGAATTAGAGAGATGTTTTTGGTGGATGTTGTTAAAGTCCTGCTGGTCCCGAAGTGTATAATTATTATTTTCAAGAAGATAATTGAGGCGATACACCCTCTGTCCATTTTGTACATAATAAACAAATACAAACAGATATACAGGCAGTGTGTGTTTCTTTGTATTTTATGAACAGCTGCAATACAGAGTTCACAGATTCATGGAATGCTGAGAAACGCCACTATAATTAAACTGGGCAAAAGAAATGAATGTTTCAATTCACTGACTAATATTGTGACTAATAACCGCCGGTCTGATGTTTCTTTTGGCCGCGTGAAGTAGGTGCTTCATCTCATCGAGCGTTGTGCGTTTGGTTTAACAGTTCTCGCTCACCTCCCACTTGTTGTCCTGCGTTTGTCTCTTCAGCCGGACGGTCCAGTTGCCGGCGGCGACCTCGGCGCAGTGGGCCACGGTCATGGCCACGGGACAGGACAGGTCGAGGCCCGGCGGGCCGTACGTGACGGCGGGGCTCAGGAAGATCTCGGCCCCTTCCTCCTCGGACGCGGCGCTGCGCCCCGCGGAACGGAGGCACAAGGTCAAAGGTCACGTAACAGGAAACCAATTTACATCCAGCAAACAGACACACGAAAAGGGGGGGGGGGGGTTCGAGACAACGAACATCACGGCCGATGAATCAGCGCTTTAAACAAGCACTCGGGGCGGCGGGTCGCGACCCCGCTCGCCTGCGAAACGAAGTAAACTCAAACCCCTCGGACGCGCATAATGAATCAATCCCTGACCAGCTGACACGCAGATAGAGGAAGATCACAGCACCAAGACTAATGGACAGTGGGGCCGGGGAGGACAGGCTTTAGCACGCAGCGTGCAAGCGCGCCGGGTCGATGGAGCTTATGAAGCCCGCCGCGGCCGAGAGCAATCAATGGGACCACCATCAGTCATGCAGCTGGCCGCCGGCTGGACGCCCTTCGCACAGACAGGCCGCCATGCTGCTGCTGCTGCTGCTGCTGCTGCTGTTGTCACCGGGGATAATTCTCAACATTGTCGATGCAACTGCAGCGGGGACGCGGCCTGGCGTGCATAACGTGTGTGTGTGTGTGTGTGTGTGTGTGCACAAAAATACAGGAGAACCATTTTTGTAGTTCACACCTGTGATGCTGCGACCGCCGCACCGCTTGACTGCGTGCATCACCGGGTATACCGCTGCGTCTCGACTCTGATTCATTTCTTTTGATTTGCTTTATTCGTCTTATCATCCTCTTTACTCAGCGAGACATAGAATCGGCCCCGTCGCTAAGCCCCGCCCCCCCCCACTGCCATTCCTTCAAAATGCCGGAGCCCCCACCGCCACTGCTGCCCTCACTGCATACATTTGAAAAACTAAAAAGCGATTTCAGGGAGGAAAAAACAGAATGCCCCAGAATAATCTTTTAAAGGAAAATGCTCCGGAAAATGAAAAAATGATTCAGCAGCAAAAATAGTTTGCTAGGAAAAAAAAAATAGAAGCTTAAGATCAGAGTGCGAAAGTTTTTGGAAGCCGTGTGAAACTCTGTCATTACAATGTTACCAATCAAAATAATGGCTAAAAATAATATCACAGGTCCAGACTGCAGCGCGTCTCTGCAGCTGCAGCTCAGAGGCAACCGAGGTTACCTGCTGCTGAGACTGCGCTGATTAGCCAGATTGCCTGTGAGCACAGATTAAAGATGGTTATTTAGCGCCAATTGTGCTCGTGAGAACAAAGAAAAACCACTGCGGGATGTTGGTTAAAGTGTAGATAATCTGCAGGGCTATTAGTTAAGTCTCATGGCTCATTTGTGCAGAAGAAAAACATTTTGCTTTTTGAAGTTTTTCACATAAAAGCATCCGGCGTGACATTCAGTGCCTTTTTTTTTTTTTCCTTCCCACAGTTACAAATAGAGTTTTTGCCAAAGCCTCATTAGTGTTTAACAGCAGGTCTGTCAGGCCCCCACTGAAGCATGAAGTCTAACAAAAAACTAAGTTGGAATATTTTAATGAAGTTAATGTTTTTATTTGAAGTGTCGGTTTTCCAAAAAAGCCCCGAGAAGCCCTATTTTCTGCTCAGGTAGACATCACAGCTCAACAGCCTGCTGCTATATCCATGCTCCGAACGTTGAATAGGAACCTTTAAGTCTATCTGGCTTCAAGAGGCTTACTAAAGTATTAAAACCAAATAAAGTTGATGCCAGCAGGACGGTGCAGTCTGACTTCAAAGGCAACCGACCAACGTGACACTGCGACGTAATCGGTGCTTCCCTGCAAAGTGTGATGAAAAAAACACACTGACTCAAACGTGCGTCGGACAAATCCGAGCGCACTACCACATCCTGTCCTTGGACTCGTCCCTGCCCCCCCCCCCCCACGCGCACTGGAAAAATCTCCCGCCAAGAAACACCCGGGAGTCCAGAGAGACAACAGCGCGAGTCTCGCAACGTGTGACCCCCCCCCCCCCCCCCGCGGAGTGGGAGGAGATCCCCCGCCCAGACCAACCCGGTGAAGTCCAAGAGGACCAACCCGCGGAGGTTTTGGCCAAGGTGCACACCCCCCCCCCCCCCCCCCGAGCCGGAGCCGATCGATTCCTCCTCTCCGCGGTTGGAAAGACACATGGGAAGGAAAAAAGAGGATCCAATTTCGCCCCCGGACTCCGCGGCTGTCAGAAGATCGGCTGTGAGTGACAGCCGGAGGAGTAAACAGCATCAGGCTTATCGGAGCACAGCAGCAGCCTGCAGGGGAGCAGCTTGGCTGAACCGAGCGCCGAGCCACAACCTACGGGCGACCTTTGACCATTTTGGGGGGAGGTGGGGGGGTCGGGGGGACGGTTGGATTTCACGTGGCAGTAAATGTCACTTTCGATTGTCCCTCGGACGTAGAAATCAAATGAATCCAGACTCCTGGTCGCCGGACGCTCTCCGAGGCGCCGGAGTCAAAGGCGTGACGCCCCGTTTCACGCGCTTCTTATCTACCGGGGCGTTTTGTCCTCGAGTAATAGCTTTGCGGGAAAAAAAAACCTTGCCGTCAAAGTTGCAGAAATGGAATCCAGCTGGCAGGTGACAGTCATCGCGAGTCTCGATGTTCCCGCGAGCCGGTCTCCCGGCTCGCGGCGGCGTCTCGGATCGGAGGACTAAAAGGGCGGCGGCCTACGAGGGCGGTGAGAGTCCCTCACCTGCCGTCCTCCTGGTGGATGACCATGTACGTCTCCCACGTCGTGTCTTCGGCGATCCCCCCGTGGGGCACCAACAGGCTGATACCTGCAGAGAAGGCGGACACGCAGCGACTCATCAACCCACACACACGGTCCTTTACTGCATGATGAACAATCCGCACTGCAGTTGAAGGCCCTGGAGGGGCCGAGTGATGGATGGAGGCCGCGAGAAAGAGCTGCCTGGATAATGCGGTAGACTGGCGGTGACGGGTTTGTCTCGTTAACGCGTTTTAATCAAAGCTCACGGCGCAAAACGCTAAAGAAGAATGTTCGAATAAAACCCCTTCGGTCGATGCTTTCTTACTTTAAATCTCCCGTAAACGGCACATTCGTTTTTGTGTTACTTGGTTGATCGGCTGCTGCGGTTTTGGAGTTGTACCTGTGTTCGGGACCACCAGCCGGCCCCCGGCGTGACCAAACGCGGCGGTGGCTCTGTGGAGGGGCCTCCCGGGGGTCGAAGGGACTTGTGGAGCGAGGAGGTTTTGGCCTCTTCGGCCCAGCGTCATGCCGACCGCGACCCCCCTGCAGTCCGGAGCCGGGCTCCTCGGGAAGGTCTGCGGGTGGGACATGACGCGGTACTCGGCCCTCTCGGCCTCCCCTAGATCGATAACCGGAGACAACGGGGGACGTTTGCAAGAAGTTGTCTTCATCCTGAAAGCTTAGAGTTTCTTATACATCGCAGGTACATTAGCGAACTGAAATTATAATGAATAAATCACCTGTAAATCATCAAATATTAGTAGGAATAAAAGTCAATGTTAGCTTGGAGTTGAAGTTGAATGAACCCAAAAACGAGAATTAAGAATTAAGTGAAGCACAAAATTCAATTCAAATGTTTTTGCGTCGCTACTTGAGCAGATGCCTCCGGAGACGAGGAGGCCTCCTCCCATCACTGTAAACCGCATCCAAAAAGATGGTCGCTAATGGTCGCTAATGGTCAATTAGCGAGGCCCCTCAAGGGGACGTCCTGTGTGGCAGCGGTCTCAAGAGGTCTCGCCGGAGCAGCTCCAAAGCCACGTGGATTACACTGCCGACTGCCACAGCAGAACCCCACGCCGCTCTGCAGTGTTTGCCTTTTCCAAACACTTCTATTCTCTGACCTTTGACCTTCAGATCAGGCAACGGGTCCAGGAGGGAGCGCTCGGCCATCAGCTCCTTGTCGACGGAGTCCTGAAAGCACATGGGGCTGGTGTAGGTGCGCGACACCGTCAGACCGGGCTGCATGGAGGAGTTGATGAGCAGGGGGTTCGCTGGAAAGAAACACATGCACAGAAACAAACAATAATGACGCGTCTTTGAAGCAGCGTGACGGATTTGGCAACAGGCATCGAGGTGTGGAAAACACCTTCAATCCCTCAATTAGAGAGGCACGTGGCACGCAGTTTGCCCCGATGTCTGAAATGTGGCCATTAAATAGCATAATAGATTCATTAAAACTGTCAGTGTTCTTCGTCAGATTCACAGCAGAGTTCCAGCTCCTGGGGGTGCAGGCCGCGTCCGCAGCGCATCACCGAATCCGTCACACGCTGATACGATAGGATGATGGATTCAGTCTCATGCTGGGTCACGATGTGTATCCCTGAGTCTGTATTCATGTGAGCGTGGAAACCCGGCAGAATGTCTCTCCCGCTGCAGTGTGGATGGAAGCAGGCAGCAACACCGGAGGGGGGAGGAGGGCAGGAGGGGAGGAGGGGAGGAGGGGAGGAGGGGAGGAGGGGAGGGCACGTTGGATCGGAGCTCCGGCTGATTTCGCCCCTCCGTCAAGGAGAGCCGGGACAGAGATTAAAGCTTTCCGCGGCCCCTGCCGCGTTATCAGAATGAACTTTATTACGTCCCGCTGAGAGCGGTTGCCGTGGTGACCCATTACGCAAGCCTTGTAAAATCTGTTGATTAACCACTCTATTGAGCTCTGATGTATTTGTGCTTGGAAACACGGAGCTACAAGTGCTCCATTCGGGAGTCTAACGCTAATTATTTAGGTTCTAATTTTGAATCTTGCGGTTTTGTTGTATGCAAGATGAAAGACAACCGATAATGCCAGAAAATTGTTCAATAATTACGGTAGAACAAACTGTCTTTACATATAGTTATTACATATAAGAGCTGCATTTACAAATGATTTCTACAATTTTTTTGAACAAATATTTTAACCTTTTACATGACATTGATGATTTTGACTTTTTGAAAAATATGTCAATGGAGAAAAAAAAATGTATAGAAAAATGTCCAGGGAAAAATATTTTTGTCAATTTGATGAAAAAACTAAATTTCCAGGAAAAACAAGTCCATAAATATTTTGTAAAAAAATGTTACTTAAAAAAAAAATGTAATGGAAACTAAGAAAATATTAGGGTTTTTTTAATTTTGAAAATTACGTTTGTTTTTCACTTTTATTTCTCTTCGTTTTTCAACTTTCAACTATTTTCCAACTATAGCTACTGCTGATAGGCGTACCGATACAATAATACAACAATTGCATGTTGTGCTTTATACATTAAGCCCCAATCTCTACAAGCCTCCACACCTTTTAATAATTGATGTAGTTATATCAACTTACAAGGAAATGTATCCATAATTCATCTGTATACACACATTAATACAAATAAATATAAATAAAATACATTATGGCTTTCTTGCTTGGTGCTTAATATAACATGAAATATAATTTATACATGAGTACATTTACTATATTTGAGTCCACTATGTCAGAACCCCATCTTGTATCTTCTGGCCTCCGTGTATGAAAATGTGTGTGTGTGTGTGTGTGTGTGTTTGTGTGTGTGTGTGTGTGTGTTTGTGCTGTATATATTTTTTCATCTGGAGACAAGCTGAAAAATGAGGTCTGGTTTCCCATCTGCATCCCCGCACAGTTCTTACCTATGGAAGAGACTGACACTCCGTCTCCATCTCACTGTATCACAAGGCAAAACTGCAGATTTGATTCAAGTTCTCACAGATTTTCATGCAGTAAAAAGAATAAAACAGTAAGATTGCACTTAATAAAACACTTCATTCCGTTGCTTCATTGCTTGATAAAAAACGAATCAACCAAGCCCTCATATTCTTGACTTTGTATGACTTAAGCAAAGAGACATTGGCTCCGTTATTAACGTGTAGAATGCAGAGGTCACATTTCATGTATGCATCTGGACAGATGTGGCTGCTTTCATTCGGATCGACTTTTTAAATAGCATTTTCACTGGAAGCAGGACCTTTTTTTGTGCTTGAGTCCGTTTGGTCATTTCGAGAACCTAAATGAACCCACTTGAGTCCAGGTGGGTGTAGCGGCGCAGCGAGGGGGGCTGTATTCATGCAAACCAGGTGGTGAAGAGCCACTTCAGCACTTGTTTTCGACTGCTCCTTAACAACCTCTAAGTCAAGAGCACAGAACTCCCTTTTTTTGTACCTTCGGATGGTGAAGAGGCTCTTCAGAATCACACAGTCGCCTTTCATGTATGTTGAGGTTGTTTATTTTTCCAATACAGTTAAAGAACTTTTAAAAAAGAGTTTGAATCAAAAGAGAAAGTTTGCGCCGAGCGAAATAAGCGAACCAAAGATCTCATCCACAGCTCACTGAATAGCTGCAGTTATCATTCAGCAGCAGGAGTGACAGGTGTTAACGTGCAAGCGGGCCGTAAGGAGAATCTATCAAAACGTATCAACTCCACTCTCTAATTCAACCGGGGTGTGCTGAGTGTGATTGATTATGCACCAATCAAACGGCGTGCATATGCTAACGAATTAATCACAACCACAGAACCCAATATGCTGCTCATTCCGAATGCATACATTCAAATCCTCTCGTGGCCTCCTCAGGAAAAGTTCCAACCTCCATCAGATTATTAGTGGGAAATGATGACAGGAAGCTCAAGGAACGTCCATTAAATATTGCATTATTATGGCAGAAATAACTGAGAGTAGATGCAAGACAATTGAGGAAGTTTTGTTATTGATAAAACTTCATTCAACTATTGGCCCTCGTGTCCCCCGGCCTACGACACGAGGGGATCTCAGGGCCGCGGGACGCGGTTTTGGGTGCCGGGCTGGATTTGCGGGACACCGTCTCACCTTGGCGAGACGTCTTGAAGCTGAAGGACTGGAAGCCGCCGGTGAGGGCGGAGGAGTCGATGACGTCGACGCCGTACTGGCTCTGGCTCCTCCGGTAGAGAGTGACGGCGACGATCAGCAGCACCACCGTCACCACCCCGGCCGCCAGGCCCGAGTACAGGGCCACGTCGCCGCCGCTGCTGCTCTCCACGCCTGGGAGGGGCGGGGCGAGAGGGAGAGGGACGCCATTAGGGCGCCGAACACATCGCGAGCTGCGGCGAGTGGCACGAGTCTTGGTAGAAAAGAAGACGCTTTTTTTTTTTTTTATGTGTGTTCCTCGACCTGCCTGCCGATGCACGGCTCCATTGTTCCACCGCGGCGCCTTAACGCCAGTAATGAGGACCCTCGGAAGGGAGGCGATTATAATCAACCCAACACCTGACTGTCATTTCAAACGCGGCGTGGCTCCTGGCGTCGGGGGCGCTCCGCGTTCCGCTGGGATAATGTGACAAAACCAATTCATTAAATTAGCTCATCGCCGATGATTACGGGCCCACCAGTGCAGCGGCATCCAACTCCTCGCAGGAAGGAGAACGAGTGGGAAATAAAGGGGGGGGGGGGCTGCTAGCATGTTTTTTTGAAAGATAATGAGATCTGCGCTGAAAAAACAGGAGACGCTGAGAGATCCTCTAAGCGCCCCAAAGCTCAGACGGGGAGGATTTGAAAAATTTGCAAAGCGGGCATGGCGGTTCCCGGCGCAGGTTATTGGGGGCTTCGGGAAGTCTTTGGGCAGGGGGTTCGCTTTTTTTTTCCCCCCCCCCCCCCCCCCCCCGTTTTTTTCTCGACAAACAAAAATATGTAGCAGCGTTTAAAGGACAAGTGAGGACGAGGTGTGGACAAAGTTCTCGTGGTCGTCACGTAAACGGCCTCAGAAGGACACAAAGAATTCGCCGGCCGGATTGACATTTCACGAAAAGTTTAAATTCACGGTGTATTAAGGCGTGAGAAACAGAATGAATTAGATTCTGTTCAGGACGTTGGCTGATCTTTAAAACTTTTCTTAGCATAACTGTTCTATTTTACACAATATTGCAGTAAAAGTTTTTTTTGCTGTTGCCGAATCTCAAATTCATTTGACAGTTTCTGAAAACATTTGAGTTGCAAGAAAAAGTTCCCAAACCGTAACAGAATCTTAATTCACAATTTGATCGGCGCCGGCTGACAGATTGATCGGAATTCATGAGCGGTGATTGATTGGTTGTTTCCCTTCAGTCACGGGGAAAACCTTGTAAAACGCCGTTAGCGGCGCCGCGGGGAGGAAGAGGAGGCTGCAGTGACAGTTTGGGGGAAAACAAAGCAAAGTTATCTCCATAAAAGTTGCCAGCTCGCAACTTCGCGTCATTGTAAATCACTAAACAGTCCGAACCGTTTTAATCAGAGATGTGCACTCTGCATGACAAAAACAACACAACCACACTGGAAATGCAATAGTTCTGACAGAATGTATTTCCTCCCCTGACTACAAACGTACGCGCTTGTATTGTATTTCACACTTATTATTCATGCATCTTTTATACTACTTGTCTGTCAAAACATCAGCGTCTGGAATAAGTCGCCTCTATCTAAAGAATCCACGATGAGTCGTGCGGAGCGGGTTTGTTTTCATAAGCACACCTGTCACAGTGATTTATCCCTCCGATTCCACGGCAGCTTTCTCACACATGGAAATGCAAAGTATTGTTTTCTATTTCGCGGCAAAGGGCCGTCTGGGTGAAGTCACCGGGATGCTCCGACGTCGGTGAAACGCGACGCAAAGCGCCGGCCTTACAGCTCCCGCTGATGGTGGGCGGTGTAACCTAGCAACGGCCCGGAGAAGTTAACTTCCCGGGCCGCGGTTGCAGGGGGGTCGTTAAAACGACGCAACGGTAAGCAATGGATGCAGAGGCGTAACTCACCCTGAGGCTTGGCGTCGTGCAGCAACTTGCGATCTGCGGAGACAGAGGAACATCAGAATGTGAGAGGGTGCGACTCTCAGTAGAATTAATTACCACCCGTTCGTGCACGCGTCGTATCGGGCCGAACATGCAGACGGATGGAGGCGTGACGAGCATTAATGTGACGGATTGCTCCGCCCCATCCAGCCGCTGGACGGCGAGGAAGCAAAACTCGAGCGCTTCCTCCTCTCCATCTCGTTGCTAAGCGAGGCGGCGCGGCGATGTCACCCACTCTGCGTGCACAGGCCGCCGGTGCAGTTGTCCGTGGCGAGCGCCACGCCGTCGCACAGCCGCCCCCCGTGTTTGGGCTCCGGAGCCGTGCACTCCCGGCCGCGCTGCCTCTCGCAGTCCGAGCCGCACGCCGACCACTCGCTCCACTCGGCCCAGCCGCCGTCCACTGAGAGGGGGGGAGGTGGGGGGGGGTCACACGTTTAACCACATGAAGAAGATTTAACACAGGCCTCACAATTAAAATAAATGCATGACATATAAACCCGTAATCATAAAAAGGAATATTAAAGTCTTATGATGGAGTACCGGAGAAATGTCACTTGTCAGTTGTAAAAAGTGCTGTTTTATACATTTTCTTTATCTGTGTGCATCAACAAGGTTATTAACAAGCTTAATTATGACATCACATCCATAAAAGCAGTTTGCACGCCGACATTTACAGATGTATTCAGGACCTTGTGCTCCGAATGAAAGCACATTGAGCTTCCATCCGCTTCATTTAGTGTGTTAGAAGTTGCTTTTCCCGTACTTATAAACAATCAGTTTCTCCTGCAAATGTTCCATCGGGAACAACAACTTCACAGTGCTGCACCTTTATCTCTGTAAATAGATTCAGAATCTCGGAGCATTCTACTTCATTAACATTCCACCGCGGTGACAAGATTTGGGGCACCAGGTGAGAAGATTTCTCTACATAAATTAGCGAACGAGAGAGTTGATTAATTTCAAAGTTCCCTGGAATTTAATGAATAAACGGTTCCACGGTAACAGCTCCAACTTCCAACTTCGCCGAAGTTTTTCCACCTCAGGGTGCCAAAAAATGTGGAGCCGCCTCGCCGGCTTTTAGCACAAAGACAGTGTCGGTGTCACACTCCATCAACCCTCCCCTCCACCTCCAAACGCTCTGAAGGTTTCCTTCTTCCTGCTAATCTAAACGCAAATGCACCCTTTTCATGTTCAAACTCAGATGTGGGAGAAGGAATCCTTCAGGAGGAGGCGGGAGATAATGTTTGGAGGAGTGCACTGGCTTCCGCTGATAACTTTTCCTTCCTAAACCTGACGAGCGTTTCCCTTTATACGGGCGCCGCGGATGAAATCGGAAATTTCCGGCTCGCCTTGAAGAAATAAACCAGTCAGGCGGAGGAGATTACCGAGCGGTTTTGATAACCGGAACTGCTGCTCTGCTCTTTCTCTCACACGCTGTTTGTTTCCCTCGGTCCATTTGCTGCACACTTTCTCTTCATTTTACTGATGTTTGTCAGATTTCAGGAACAAAAAGCGACTGTGATTGTCTGCAGCGGAGACGTGCGATGTCCTGCTTGAAAGGAAAGTTCTGTTTGAGTGTCGAAAAACAGCATTGTGTCTCTGTTGAGGACATTCACTTTTGTGCCGTTTTCCAAGGAGTTATCAAACTACTAGCAAATCTAAAGCTCCGTTATTAGCATGTCGCATCTCAGCTCCGCAGAACGAGGTCGAAAAGCAACACGTAGAGTTTAATAATGTTAATGACAAAATTCCTGCCATTTCGGTGTGAATAAAAATAAATAGTTCCAGCGCACAACTACGGTTCTGTACAGAGGAAACAAACAGGTGTCTAAGATTATTTTTTCTCTTCAATGCCTTTATAGAACACAAGGTCGCACAATAAGCCGCGTAGTAGGAGGCTCCACGGACCGAAAGTGTATTAAAAGATATTAAATATTAAAGATATTAAATCAAGTTGGACAAAAAGTTTGAATAAAGTTGATTATATGAAGAAATAGAAACGCTGGTCATGAAATGATCATTCCTGTATTATTGTGGATGCACACAAATAAACACCAGGTCCTTGCTCACCTGGACACAGCGTGTTGCAGGTGCTCTTCTGTACCGACATGCCCTCGCAGAAGGCCCCCCCGTTGAGAGGAGCTGGATTCGTGCAGGTGCGAGAACGCTTCTGCAGGCCGCGACCGCAGCGCACGTTGCACGGAGACCAGTCGGTCCACGACGACCAGCCGCCGTTCACTGTGGAGGAGGAGAGGCGGGCGGGATGAGCGGGATGAGCGTCACAGGGGGGGGGGGCTGAGGTGTCTTTACTGCTTTTCTCCTCTGATTGGGTGTCTGGAATAACTGATCAGCTCGCCGGCTGTCACAGGACGGGATGAAACGCTAGTATTCTACCACTGTACGTCTGTCAGAGGCTGTTGGGAGCAGACAGCCTGTCTGGACTTCATTAGCGATAAGGAAATGAATGATTGATGGGCCTCAACAGCGGCCCGTCAGAAAGAATTGCATGAATTCTAACAGCAGCTAAGTGTCCTCCCTGAAAGGAGAAGTGAAGTACCCGGATGACGGGTCGGTGAGATGAGCACCGGTTCGTGAGGCGTTCCTCTACAGCGGAACAGGTGATGCTGTTATGACATCGTAATTTCGCTTTTTCTCCCCCGCGGCGCTTTAAAGGGGACGGAAACGGCGTCTGCACTTCTTGCATGACAACATTTTTTGTAAACATTGTCTCTGAGTCCTCCTTGTTTTCTCCACACGGGGGATCGCTCGCCCATCAACTGCTCATTAGAGCGCAGTGAAAAAACGTCGTGGTTGAGTTCTTTTAATGACTTCGGGGAGTTTAGCGGCGCCAAACTGGACGGCGTACTTCTGGAGGGAAAATTGACACTTTGATAGAGACAGCGAAGCTGTTTGACATTGTTTTGGATCCAAAATGATGATTCCTCACCGTAGACCACGACGGCGGCGGTGGCGCTGCGTCTCCTCGCCACGATGTTGCTGGCGACGCAGGTGTAGTTGCCGGAATCAAACAGCCGGGCTTCGGAGACGATGAGATTGTGGCCGCCTCTCGATTCGGAGCCGTCGTCGTTGGGGGAGTCGAGCGGTTCTTCGTTTTTCAGCCACTCCACCTGTAAAAATGGTATTTGCACGAGTCACTAATGTGGACAGGGAGCCTGACCTTTAACCTTTAACACTTGATGGTGGGGGGGTGGCGGGGACCACTGCAGTCACCTGCCTGTCAGGAGATTCCCTGCTATAACTATAAATTATCACCGCATGTACACAACACATGAGACAATTGGGATCGTCCAAGTAGTGAGTGAAAGTAATAAGGAATTTTCAAAATAAAAGGCGCTCTGTTGACACTGTGCTCGCATGGCTGGGCCTGTGAATTGCTATCAATGTGCCGGCGGCTCGAGCTTTTCATTGGGGGAGACGAGCCGGGGCACGAGGGAGCGGCGTTTGATTTATGGCGCTGTGTTTGAGGATTAAAAACTCCGCCCCCACCGGGAGCGCCGCGTGTTTGTGCACGGGGTCGCACTTGTGCGCTGTGTGTTTGCGGGGCTCGTGCGTAGTGTCTGTTTGCCGGGGGGATACGACAACAGCCAACAAACTCAGAGATTGCTTTGCTCTTTGGGAACACCCGCGATGAAAAAATGGAGCCGGGAAATCAATAAATCAGGAGTCGTGCTGTCGCGAACGTTTTTTTTTTCTTCTTCTCCTCTTGACGGCCTTAGAAGTCTTTCATCATGTGCCTTTAATTTAACTCTTTTCATCATTTGGTTCTACAGCCTTCAGGAAAAAACAAAGCAGCCACACCGGTGGGCTGCACCGGTCAATCAATCAATCCTGGCCTCTGCGCTCTCACCATTTCACACCTTAAATGGCTAATCAACCCCTGTGTTTCCGTCCGTGCTGTACGAAATGCTGCACAGCTGCTGCCATTAATCTACTCAGCAGCCTGTCATGGTGGAAAAGTACTTCATTAGAAGAAAATGATGCTTTTAGGTAATCTAAAGAATTATGCATGCAGTAATATAAGCTTTTATTTCGCCTCAAGCACGGACACACTATCTGTCCATGCATCCATCCATCTTTCTAGAGGCCTTGCGGTCTTTAAAATGCAGAGAAAGGTTTGGTACACCGTTGTTCTTCCTGCCTTCTGTACCTCACAGCAGCTCAGTTTCTGGTAAGTGGGAAACTAACCTTGACAAGTGGGAGGTTTGTGCTTCATCACCTTCTCTGCAAACGCTGCAGCCTCTTTCACCAAAGGATGACAGAGGTGAGCTCTGTTATTTTTGTATTGTTTTTTCTCGCGGCAGGGTCACATTACACCCCGTCTGTCTACAGTCCGCAGCATTCCAAAAGCCTCTCCCCAGAAGGCCACGCTGGAGACACGCGGAGGCAACGGAAAGGCGTTCAAAAAAAATGGTTTGACCCTAAAAGCCGGATCAGCAGCTGAGGTTTATTATTTTAATTTGAATATCTTCACTCAAAATATGATGCAAGCTTTTTCCAATTACTGCACGCCTGAGAAAAAGGGCCTTCTAATTAAACGACAATAAAGCCATTGGCCACTAGATGAGAGAAATTATAGAAGTACAGTTTAGAAAGGTCATTGAGCTCAAATCGGCATCTCTACTTTGTGAATTATGGTCAAATTACTTGAAAATACCCTTTTTTTATTTCAGAGAAATAACACACAACCTCGACCATGAAAAACTATTTTCCTGGCGGCGGCTTTAAACAACGAGGTTTAACTGAATTAACCCCCAGCCCTTTGTTCTCGGATGGGACGCATAGTGCCAAAATTGTCCTTGACCGGTACCAAGATTTAACCATTATGTTGTGTGAATCAGAGAAAATCAGAGACGTGTTTCAGTGCTTTACATCATGAAGGTTCCTGAATGACAAAATCTCATCTTCTATCACAATGTAGCAGGTAAAAATAATGAGTAGAAGCTACGGTCTATTTTATATCATTGCTACTAAAGCAAAGCAGTAAAGTGCCTTTTATTTTCCTGTAGTACTGCAGTGAGAGACCAGCGTTATTCTCTAGAACCCCCCCACACCAACCCCCCCCCCCTCTCGGCCGAAAACAACAGCCAGCGGGGGAAAGTGAGCAGCGCTGTCGCTGCTAGCAGATGCAGGATCAGCACCTTGGAGAGCGCCTCGACAGCTGAGCGGCTGGACCTCATCGCAGGGCCTCTGACCTGACGTGAGAAGAGCTTTCAGCAGCCCCCCCCCCCCCCCCAAAGGAGCATGTCTCCATCAGTGCTTGAATGTAACTGTAATGTAAGACCGACTCAAGTGCTGTGTTTAAGGACAATTTTGAGGTACTTACATGGAACATTTTGTGCTACCTTCACTTTCGCTACATTTGTTGAATTGCTTTAGTGGCTACACACAGATTCAGGTTACTAATATAAATATAATCTCCTCAGAAATGATAACATAATACGGTGGATTAAGTTACCCAGCAGCATATTAAAGGTTCTCTATGACTCTCAAGAGCATTAATAAAGCAGCAAACCAGTATTAAGTGTGCGGAGTAACGCCTACAGCCTCTGCACCGCTCCAATACAGCAGAGAAATCACCGCGTCCCAATGGAGCGCCGTTAGCACCGCGGCTGCGGATTGCACTGTTAGCGCTGCTAGCACTGTGGCTACTGTTTGCACCGTTAGCGCTGCTAGCACAGTGGCAGCTGACACCCCCTCAGATCACTGCGGTGTTTACAGAAGCAGAGGGCGGCTGTGGTGAGGACTTCTGGGACTCTTCAGTCGCTCAAACATGCGCTGTTTAAGTCGTCTGTCTGCCAGAAGCTCGCAACCACACTTAGAAAGACAACAACTTTCCATTCAATCCTTTCTAGTCGGTGTCGATAACAAGTGAGCCGTGTTAGTGTGTTGAGGTATTGATTACTGCGGTGTTGACTTGCCCTTCAGGATCACTCAGCCGACCTCTCTGCTATACCGCTGAAGGGTTTAAGATGCTACGTGTCTGTGGCACTTTTATGTCCCTGTTCCCAATGTTTTTATGAATTTACTGTAATCAAGGGCTTTCCATAAGAAAAAAATAGGTTGGAAAATATTGCAACCATTTGCCTAAAGACTTGGAAAGCATATTCCAAACAGTCCATAACACAATAGTCGGTAGCAGGTAAAAGACCTGCATTCAAAATCTTAACAGACTAAAGAGCATCAATATATCTTCAGTAAAGTATCTTTAGTGCAACTAATGACAACACAAATTGCATCGAGACACGTCCCATATGGTGCGTATTTATCTTTATTCTTAATGCTTTCAAATAAAGGGCAAATCCACACGCAGATGATTAGATAGCAGCGGCGTTTTCGCTGTTCTTGCCCCAGTGTTTGTCTCGGTGCTACATGTTGATTAAATAAATGCATAAATTATTTCCCTCTGGGATGTATCGCAGTAGAAGAAAATAAAAGTAAAGTACCTCAGAATTGTTCTAAAGGATGGTAATTCAGTCAATGTAGGGACTAGATGGTGGAGCTACAAAGGCATTTGTCAAAGAGGAAGTAGACAGGTGTCACAACCTCAGGGCCTTTCTTCTTCAGTGGAACTGACCACAATATCTCACCGTAGACCACGAGTCCCGCCAGTCTGTGATCGTAAAATACATACGACGTCTCGTTGGTGATGAGGCTTTATTTTCCACATGTGTATCTCTGGGAATTCTCTCGCTGAAGTACATTCGAATATTTTCCTTGTGCTCTGCTTGGTTTTTCCGTCCCATGTTTCTTTTTTTGGGCGGGAGGCTTTGATTTATCCATCTCGCTCTGCCCCTTTACTCTCAGCAGGAAGCGTTCAAACCCAGAGTGCAATTTGCACCGCGTCGGTCGTGGAGTCTCCGCTTCGGGGTAACGCGATACAGAGATGCACACGCTGATGAGAAGGCAGCGACAGAACGGACTCAAATGAGCCTGATAAGCCGCCGCCCGGGGAGCTCTGGGAGAGGATTTGCCTAATTGGCAAATTTGTTCAACTTAGATAGCGGCAACCATTGCCGAACGGCACCGCGCATTAAACCGAGCCAACCGGGCCTCGCGGCAGTCTGCTGGTGGCGGAGTAACGTGGTGTCAAGGTCACCGTGGCGACCGTTGAACAGCAGCAAATTCAAACGGGAGCTACATGAAAAACCGGTCCGCGTGCGTCGTTCTAACTTTAGGTCTAGTTTGGCAACGGACCGTCAGAGAGCAAATTAAACAAATTGCAGATATATTCAAAGCAGCTTCAGCTGGTCGGCAGGGGGTCCGCGGACCACGCAGCATCATTTTTCTGATAGCTCCGAGCGGTTTGAAGAAGTTGAGACTTGGCGGTCCAACAGGCCCTGGAGCAATCTGTGTTCACGTGGCGAGTATTAAATCTTAAACTTAAACCCCCCAAAAAATGCGTGTCCATTTCAACTCTTTCGAGTTCCCACTGACGTTCATCACTGCATCGGGTCTGAACACTCAATTATTCTGAAAGCAGATGTGTTGCCCATCCGTTCACAATCATTCAAATGGGAAGTGAAAGCCTCGCAGCAGGGTTTGTTCCATCTGATTCAATTAGGCTCGAGTCTCCTCCTCCCCGAACCCTCTCTGCCTTCGCCCGGTCACATATGTGGCCTTTTTCTCAACGCAACAATGACTTTCACGACATCACATTAAACAAATGAGCCCTCCGAATCTGACAGCAGCATATTCTGGAGGCGGGGGTGGCTAAACCCTTGTTGTGTCCTTGGTTTATCTCCCCACCGTCTCTGGAAATGTTGTGTTGATCACTGAATAATTACATTTTAAGTACTTCAAATGACTTTGGATGAGAGGCTTGATGATTAATTACACTTGGTATGGAATACTTGGGCGGTTAATGTGGGGCTAATGATTGGAAAATAGTTTTTTTCTAAAGTTTTGGGGATAATTTTTGTGTTTTGAATCTCCACCACTAAACTTTCGCACTAACAAAGGCATCCGCTATTCTTCCTTTACTTGAGGACGTGAGCACTGAAAAAAGTCTGTGTCGTTCCAGAGTCACACCTCAATTTATAATTACAACACATAAATGCAATTTGAATTTGTTCTACTGAGGTTTGGACGTTTCAAACTGGCCCAGCTGATCGGCCGGGCTTTCAGCAGCTTCACTTACACAGTAATTAGTCAGAAAACAATAAAAAAGTTTGAGTTTGAGATGCCTGGTGACGCTATAAACTCCTGAGTAACGAATAAATAATGAACGCAATTGTCTGCGACAGTTACGTTCCCTTATGGTGGCCTAATTGTTTTCTTAGAACAAGATTAAATATTTATTATTTATTAATTATGCATGACATTATTATGGCCGTGATCTTTATCCCGCGGGGATTTCCATTTCAGTTCGGAGTTTTTATTGTTTTCAATTCAAACTTTTTGCATAATGGCATAAACTCTGCAGATCAACACTATGGTTATTATGCAAACGATGGATATATTTCTGGTGTTTAAAGCATCTCATACGAGGAGGACGTTGTTATCGTATACATCCAACCTAAGTTGATAACAGATTGCATTGATCTCATTTAGAGTGACGAGCGTAGATGATATGAATGTTTTAAGTAATAAAGTATAAATTCTAAGTACCCTTCTCATGACTTTTGATGCTTTTACATGAATGGAAAACTGTGTCTTTTAGCGCCGTGCCCTTTAGCTCAGAGGTGCTAACCTGAGTGTTTTTTAATAAATATTATCATAGTGTCAAAGCCTCAACCGTACTCTGAGCTTTTCTGTACTTATATATTGACTTCTTCATCTCTTGGCAAAAGGGAACTTTAATCAAACTTTGGCTTTGAGAAAAACGATTAAGAGATTATGATGATCCAAACAGAACCAGTAATGTAATAGCTTCCACATCACAGGGCACATAATCTGTTTTCTAAACCGCTCCCCGTCACTAAAAAGTAGAGCCAACTGAAAAGAATTGGCCTCCTCGACTCCTTGCCACCAATAAACTGGAGCGGATGTAAGCTGTTTGCGCGCGATACGTTCTCTGTGGTCTGACAGATTATTGCCTCTCTCGCTGCTGGGACAGATAATACGGCATTCTCTGATTTTCATTAACATCCCACACAGCAGCGCGGCTCACTCCCGCGTGGTTTAGTTACGGCGAGATGCGGATAAAGCCCCTTTCACTGTCTGGGAGCGGCGACATCGGGGGACTTCAGGCCGCAAAGTCGACTGTTCAGCGCCTCAGGTCAACTGGGCAATTATCGCCAATGTGAAAATATGAATCTCCATCAGGGTTCCGAAACAGTCCAATAAATGTCAAGGCCGAAATAACTGCGGCTGGGAATACACAGGTCGCACTGCGGCGTGGCCTCAACCTCTCAGCGGCGTCTAAAGTCACGGAAAAACCGAAGAGGAGAACCGACCGCGATCACCGACTTCTGATGCGAGTGGTGCAAGTCACAGCTGGATTCTGCCGCTGCATTATTTACTATTACCGCTCTCTTTGTTAGCCGCCCGCATTAATGAATGCATGAGGAGTTGCCTATTTGATGACCACGATGCAAGCGGGAGGCTCGCGGTACATCGATGCTCCATTTGTGAGAGCTGAATCATTCATCGCACACACACAGACACACACACACACAAACACACACACACACACACACACAGCTGTGTGCTGTGGACAGAGCCCATATACTTTTTAACACTTTTATAGATATGGAAAATTACCTCAAACAAGGAAACCAAATGTGTTTATTCCAGTGGCAAAAAAACTGGAAGAGGAATCATAGTAAGTCCCCTTTAAGTGAGCTAGCTGGGTAATTGATTGGGTTTTTATTTATCTCACTGTACAGTGATCTGGTGACTCCATAAAAAAGTCCAAATATAACAGTCCTCTTAAAGTCAGACGCCAAAATAAATAGGCCAACGCTGTGTGGAAAGATTTATCAGTCCCTCGTGTTTTTGAGAACGTTGTCATGGGTCAAATTCCTTTTAATAACCTGTCCTTGTATTAAGGAAATCGTCACCATCTTCACTTCCTGTTTTAATTTGTAGACTATCGATCCACACCACTATTTAATCAGCAAGTTCTGCACACGGACCATGAGCTCCTCAGGTATTTCTCCACCTGTGACTTTGTTTAAGCCTCAGATATACTTCTGGTTTCCAATAAATGAACCACTTTGAACTGCTCCTTGTCCTCTTGGTATTCTGCTCTGCTCCAGCGCACAGCAACCATGACAGGAACATGTTTAGTATTGTTGCCCTGCTGTAAGACCTGTGATCTCAAATATAGAGAAATGCTAAAATTAGAGGCAGGGATGCTGCCGCTGTGCTTTGAAATGTGCTGCTGGGATGGTCCCTCTGTTTGCGGATGGATCACAGGCCGCGCCTCGAAGTAAATGCAAAGCTCCAGATGCTCGGGCAGCCGGGCTTTGATATCGACATCTCTGCCCGCCGAGGCTTCCCATGACGCCGCGCGACATCACAGCGCGACATCACAGCACTCAACCAGCACTGCCCGCAAGAGCCTCATTTTATATTCACAGGGAAAATTAAAACGTCTCTGACAGGCAGACGCACACAGAGGGAGAGAGAGGGGAACAAAAGTGAGAGTGAAATGAATACGCAACATCTAAATAAGTCATAGCCGCAGAGCCCGAGGAATGTAGCAAACAGAGAACTAAGCGACGCACGCGGACGGACGGATATTACTCCGCCAGCGAATGAATAATCTCGCCTCTCGGGTAAAAAAAAAACCAAGCGAGTCGGAGGAAACAAACAAACGGCCTCCGCGGCTCATCAACCAAAAAGCGAAGACGCGGCGTGGAGCACCAGGCGGACGGCCGCCGCCCCGTGGGGCCACACGGGTGGGGGGGGGCGGGGGATGTTCCTCGTCTCCTCACCTGAGCCACGGGCACGCCCTCCGGGGGCCGACAGTGCAGCACTATCATGCCGTCCAGGGGCACCTCGGTGCCTTGCGGGTCCTGCTCAAAGTTCTTCCTCAGGTCTGCGGGAGAGAACAAACGGCCGGTGTCAAAGAGCAACAAAAAGAAATAAAAAATCACGCCGCCATGTTTGTGGAATAACCTTGTGACGGACAACAAGGACGCGGCGGCCCTCGAAGTGACATGCTGCTTACAGGCGATGCGGACGGTGGCCTTGCGGCTCTTGGAGGTCCCCAGGTGACTCCAGGCGACGCACAGGCACCAGTAGTCCTCGGGGCCGTGGAAGTCCTCCACCTGCTGCCGGGACACGTTGATCGTCACCTCGCGGTTCTTCAGCCCTGCGGACGAGACGGGTGATTTCTGGGATTAGCATCTTATCACAGGAGAGGGATGAAGACGTGCGGCGACGGAGATCTCAACGTTGTGATAAGTTTATCAGCAGTGAGCCGATCCACCATTTGCCAGGAGGACGAGGAGGAGGATCAGAGCAACAAAAAGGAAAAATAATTTCAAGGATCTTACTGGGATAACAGTTTAAGCCCCAGAGTGTTCTCATGTCCGGTTAGGAGTTCACAGCGCTCACCACTTCATGCGAATGTTGAACATGAACGTCATTAGCGGCCTTTTGATAAACCCTCGCTCGCTGAAACAGATGGCCACGGGTTGGAGTGGGGGATTGTTAGCGAGGCCTAACATCCCCTTTGAGTCTCTGCTAAACATAATCCATTTACACACAAGTGACGCTAAACGCTATCCAGTGGAGGCATTAAGTGAGCGGCGGAACACATCAGCCGGTTATTGTTTTAAGGAAGAGCGGGAGCACTCTTGATTCTGCAAGAACACTGAGCGAAGAGCTGTAACATGAGAACCCTCCCCGCCCTCCTCCCCCATGCAATTAGATACTTCATCTGAACACAGGCGCACTTGGAATCCTCTATTTCTGCAGCAGGACTGTGACTCAACGTGACCCCCCCCGGCCCTTTGCTGTTGTCTGCGTATCGTCTGGGATGCAGCTCATAATGAGCGTTTCCCTCAGACAGCTGACGGGAATTTAAAAGCCTGGTATTTCAATTATGCCACACTATAAACAAAAGATGACAGGCGGGGGCCATTCATGCATTATATATGCGTGACTGTATTTGCTGTCTTGCAACTTGGAACCGACAAACGATGTCCGGAAACCTTAATTGATGCATTAACATAATTATGCATAAACGAACACATGCATCATGCGATTATTACAGATGTGACAGGTGTCTACTCTCCTAGGAATGCGCACCGTCATCAAAGAACCAACCTCTCAAAGACATATTATTAACATTGACGAGCAGATGATAGAAGACAATGTGTGCTTTGTACCGCCGTGGTACGACGATGGGATCACGTCACATCTCGGAAAAATCTCCCCTTTAAACAGTAAGATTCCAAACTCCTTCTTACCAACGGATTTTTCGCGAGCTTTTATTCCAAAGGCAGCGATCGATAACGGTTGTGCTTTACACTGATTTCTGGCACAGCTAACACGTCACGCCTCGCAGCAGCTGCCGAGGAATCACTGTAAAGCTCGGCCTCTTGTGTCTTATTGCTTAATTACGCGGCGGCGCACTTAGAGGCGTCGTCTCTCCACAGGCTCTCGCCCTCATGCTGAACATGGCGGGCGGCTGAGGCAGGCGCCCGGGATTAAATGCAAACTAATAATACAAAATGAAAGGTTATCAAAGGGAGCCTAATGAAGTAATGTAAAACAGTGATGTTCTCTGAAGACACTGTAATCCTCCGTGCAGACAGACACACACACTCGACTCCTCCTTTCCACCGCTGCAAATTAGAGCCTTAATCAACATGGCTGATTAAGTGAGAGTGATTCAGATTCAACTACGAGGAAATAAAAACACTCCATTTCCCTCGGGAACGGGTGCAATTGGGGTGATTGTCGCGAGCGGCTTCGTCAGGTCGCCACAGCGCCGTGACGTTGCCTCGATGCAGAAATAAATAGGTCAAGTCAGATTGAGTCACTTTGAACCGCATTAGTTGAGCAGTGCAGGATGGAGCTGCGCAGATGTTCTACAGGTGTTGATGCTAACACGTGGTCGGATGTATTGATGCCAAAACGCCGTTTCTTTTATTATAGAATAGGATCTAATGTTTGCCACAAATATTATTAATAGTTTAGTGGACATATGAATCTAAAACTGGCTTCGAGTGTGTTTATGTTATAACAACCTTGCATCCAAACTTCAGGTGCTTTTTGAGGAGCAGGATTGTGACCAGAGGAGACGTGAGAGTGGGTTTAGTTACGTGGTTTCCCTTTTCTCATAATCATGCCTCCTCATCTTTATTATTGATCCACCGAGATGATTAAAGAGATTCTCTCCAAAAGGCGACACCATTTATGATCGCGAGAAAAGGGGAATTTGAGAAAACAAAAAGCAATAAATTACAATAAAAACAGCAGGAAAAGCAAACCGTATTATATGCAAACACACAGGGAATAGCAGCAATACATATAAACGCACACTGGTGGGTGGGGGCTGTTGGTGTGAGCGAGGGCCGCGGCGTTTTTGCGCCGAAGGCGAGAAAAACAAAGACAGAAATCAGAAAGACACTCGGACTCCGGGGTCCCGTCGCATCAGAGCGCTCAGCGCTCCTTCCCCGGGTCGCCTGCGAGCAACGACACCCGGCATGAGATATCATCCAATAACGGCTCGGTCACGTCGACGACTCTCTCCCCCCCCCCGCCCCCCCCGGGGTCCCCGGCCACCTGTTTTCTGTGACGCCGCTGTCTCCTTCCGACAAAGTACCACGAAGCCTCGACAGCGGCCCTCGAGTGGGAGCAGCTTCCACGCGCCGCTTTAATCACGCCAACGCGTCTCCAACCAAACGACGGCGTGGGGAAGAGATGTGCCGTTCATGACGCCGCCCCCCACCCCCCCCCCCCTTTTCTTTGTGCCTGGCACGGGGCCCGTGGTGTGATTTCTCCCGGCTTTGGCCCGCTGCTCCGCCCTGGCGGCGTCTATGTAAAAAAGGGCCCCCCCCCCCGCGGGAGCCAGGCGGTGCCAGCGACAAGAGGCTCCGGATCCAAGCAGCCCACGGGGAGCCAGATCGCGAGGACGGGGGGGAACGGGGGGGCGGGTGGGGGTAGTCCCGTGGGGGATTTAGAGAACTCTGTCGGTCGCGTACACAGCGGGTGACGCGGCGAGGCGGGCGGATACGGCTTCCGGGAGCTTCGCGGGGGAACCCTTGTGTGATGCGACATGGCGGCGTGCGGGCCAAACACAGACGAACCCTGCTAGACAAGCGGAACATGCTCCCAGCAACATCTTCAGCATGGTCCCAGCTGGGTGTGTGTGTGTGTGTGTCATACTCAATCCCGGATCCATTGGGACACATTACATAAAAATAATCATGATAATTCAGCCATTTTAATGCTGCGAGTCCTTATTTGCCTCATTCCCCCCGTCGCCTGGTTTATCCCCCCAAAAACTGTGTGCCTGCTTATTAAGAGCCAGTTTTGCAAAGACAAGTAGCTTTTACTCCGTGGGCCCACTTCACTTCTTCCACTCTCATCTCCTCGACTGATACTGACGCAGAGAGACCGAGGCCTCTCAGTCCGCACCTTCCCCCCGCCTTTTGTCCCGGCGGGACGCGCCCGATGGCGGATGGTATCTCTCGGGCCGGCCCGGGATCACAACGCCCCAACGAACAGGGGAGTCGGTCCTTGACAACAGGGATAGAGATCCGTCCTCCTTTGATCGCTCACCCTGCATTCAAACGCTTTCCCTCAATCACTATCTCGTCCATCGGCCCGAATGTGCAGCCGCCGCTCTCCCCTCCTCCTTCGAGAACGGCCGGCGCGGTTGTCCGCTTTCAGGCTCTCCACTTTCTGGCGTCCTCGCTCTCATCCTCCACCCCTCTTTATCTCTCCATCAGGGTATCATGCTTTCAGTCTACGGGGCACAGATATCCCCTCGGTTCCTCCTGCCCCTCCGCTCTCCTTTCACCCCGTCCTTCAACGATCCACCGACTCCCGTCACTCTTTTGGGCAGAAAGTCTTCTGCGACAAGTCACAGCGAGCAGTCTGCTGTGTTTTGTTTCACGGGAATTGCTTGCGTCTTTTATTTTGTCTTTGTACTCCCAGCCCCTTGCCCCTGTAGGGAACAGAAACCGAGTGATTTACCGTCAATAAAGAATGGATACGGCTTCCAGAAATCGCTCTAAGGAGTTTATCGGTGCAAGCTGTTTTCCTGAAGGGCGCCTCAAACGATTCCACGGAATATCCAGCTGAGCCTTGTCTGCCTGCAGTTTATCAAAATGTTTAACCACTGCATGTGATATGGACACACTACTGCAATAGCCGTGTTGATCAATGTTCCCTGAAAATCCTGACTTTGGGTCAAAAGATAATCATTTTACTAAGTATGATGTCCTTTCCTTCCCGGGTGCGTGTCTTTCTGTCCACAGCGTCGGAGTAGAGACTTGAGAACATTCACTCTACCGATGCTGATCGGCCTCCTGTTTCCTGATTCGCGTTCGGTGCCTTTAGTGCCGCTGAGGAGGTGCACACACATTAACGACAGATTTTGCCGCTCGTAAAGCCAGAAACTATGTTTCCGCAACATCATAACGTCCACTCCGGACGGGTAAAACACTCCCTCGCGTGTGCACAGTGCAGATTTACACCTTTTCTCAAACAGCTATGCCTTCCCGCGGGGACACTTGCAACCGGCGCGAGGAACGCTCGGTGATTCTTCTAAAATCTGTGGGAACAAATCTTCATCCGTCTAAACTGATAGGATACTGTAAACTCCGTTGCACTTGCTTCCCCACCCTGACTCAGCAGATGTGGACCGCAGCGCTGAGCCTCTGGCCCACATTCTGCTTCTCTTTAGGTCGGTTTTCAGTCAAACACAACAAGCTACACTTGTGAAGATGGACAATGTTAGTAAAGTAAACGTTTGTGCTTTGTAGTCTTCATCACAGGTCCCATTCCACCCCGGTGTTGTTCACGCAGTGAACCCTCGATGGGCCCAATTATCCACCAGAACGGCTGGTAATATGAAATACGAAAATGGTTGGTTATACAATGCAAAGAAGTAAAAGGGCCAAAATCTGCCAAATCGATACTTTTTCTTATTAAAAAGCTGCTATTGCACTCGTCTTGTAGGCGAGAGCCAAGCGGCGTGATGGATGAGCCTTTTAAGTTATGAATTAATTAATATTTTATTGTCTCCGAATGACTCGCCACAAAGCATTTAGCATTTATTTGTATTAATATATTAGTTAGGCGCTCGGTTGTAAGAAAACACCACTGAAAACTCATGCATCTCCAAACGAGGCA